AAGATGTTTTATGCAAAACACTGCAAAATAATGCCACACTTCCACTACATTAAACGATGAAGGTAGAAAATGTTTTGTTCTGCAGCTCCAGGCAAATATTCTTCGCATAGGTTAGAATTTACTACATGCAATGACCCATTTAATTGTCAGTTGATGTATTTGATGGAATAATTTGTTAGCTACCGTTAATCCTTCATGCACAAAGAGGCAACTCTGGAGCTCAGATGAGAAGAAACGGCTGTGAAAAGAAAACGATTTTAAGGAAGAAATAGAAGGCTGAGCTCACCTGGCACACGAAGAAGATAACAATAACGCCAATGAGCATGACATCGGTTTCATGACGCCGCGTCTTGATGCCCTGCTCACAGCGCATGCGCTTGATGGAACGGTTGATCTCGCGCACAAGAAAGATGTTGAGAACAGCGATGAAGAGGGAAGGCAGTCCGATGACGAGAATGCACCAGGCCCACAAATGGTAACCGAAGCGGAAAGCTTTGGAGTCACCTAGGACGGAGAGCTGGTACCAGTGATTGGGTAGGTGTAGACGCGAGTCTCTTGTCATCGGATGAGGCAGAGGCGTGAAGTAGACATACTCGTAGAAGCGCGGCAAGGTGTAGCAGAAGCTGGTCATCCACACTGCTGCTATTACGAATTTACTCAGGCGCAGAGTGCACCATCGTTTCGCGATGAAAGGATGGCAGATCATTAAATAGCGGTCCACTGTGAACGCAGCTGTCAGCCAGTTTGAACATACCTGAATGGAATAAAGGAGATTTCTGAAGACATTCTAAGTGCTCTCCAAGAGTTTCATCTCCCTTTTTTCAGATATAATCCTAATTTATGCCTCCCTTCATCCAGTGCAATATTGACCCAACCATTAAAAACTGTCACGCCACGGAAATGCTCACAACCAACCAAAAAAGTATTAGGTGTACTCTGCACCCAAAGGTTGCCAGGTGACAAAGTATGAAGCGGTCAATAGGATAGGAGTCTCCTTATAGTACCTATAGTGTTTTATACACGATGGATCTGACATCTTTGACGCCAAATAGTCTCTCTCGATTTGAAGTGATCATTTAAGTTGGGATGTTTACCAAGTTCAACTCACAATAATGCCTCGACTCGTAGCGTATGAATCAAGTAATGAACATTATTTGCATCTAGTAGATGGGCATTTCAAGTACGCATCATTAATGTCGCCGTCAAGGCCTTCGCCTTATCACAATTCCCTTACAAATAAAACATGTTAATAGCCTTTGACGGATTCCAAGTGGTTTGACAACGAGATGCACACCCCCTTGCTAATTGCAAAAATGAAACAAATCCCCTTATTTACAATAAAAATGTATGACGGTGCAGAAGGGTCTGCCGTGGCAGCAAAACGCATTATTCACTTGCAACTGTGGTACAATCGAGAATGGCTACACTTCTTGTTTACTTACACAACTGTAACCTTTTACAGAGGTCGAAGCGTGGCACACGTCGTCATGATTCGAAAGCTTGCAAGGTTATTTTTTATTCGAGAAAGGGCAGCTGCGTATTTTGAAATATGGAAATAGTAAATTTCACAGAAAATTTGCTGCCTTATTCACTCTGTCTAGATAAAATGGGAGTTTTAGATAATGACGCCAGACGCGGTGAATCAAATTGCACTTTGAAGGTTGGTGTAAACGCGAAGGGGGGAGTTCTGTTGCACGGACAACTTATGTCCAAAAACTTCAGTTGAACATCCTTTAAATGTATTTTTTAATATCTAAAATAGCAAATGACCGTAATTCAGAAAAAGATCCGTGCTCCAACTAGCAAAAACATATGATAAAAGTGTTCAATTAGGTGATCTCTACATTATTGTAGGGTTGCGCAAAAATTTATCGACGGTACAACAAGGTCAGAGGGTCGCAATTGAGATTGGAGAAATTATAAACCAATGTTGAACAGAAATGACTGCATGTGCACAGTACAAATGCCTCGTCTTCGAGATTCAAGGATGTTGGGGAACGGAGCCTATGTTCTGAACAAACGCCAAATATCCAAACGATTGCATGTGCATTGGTATGGAGTGGTCAACCCAAAGTCAAGGCGTGCAAGCAATTACTTAACTTATGCTTCCTTTAATTAACCATAATGCATCCGCTTTTGCGATCTTTCATTTCTAAGCTAAACGGTGCAAGACAAACTTTCCAATAGCCGTGCTCTTCACTTTTTAAAATGCCTTGGTTTCGAAAAAAGCGATCGCCCATGTATGTTTATGCATTGCTGCAAGTACAAGCATATTTCGTTCGTCATTTGATTTCTAAGAACCAAAGCTTCCAAAACATAAAGCTTTACCTCTCCTCGGCTTTCCACACTAACCTCGACCCTTATTTGGCCCTTTCCTCTTTTTACAGTGGAAAACTTTCCACTTTTACCCAACAGATTAGGCGATGAGTAGACAAAACGTTGCGAAATGCTGTGACTATCGAACCGTTTGGCCATGTCAACCGACATGCACTGAGAGGCATACTTTCCACTATCAAATCACCTGAGTGGCATTTTATTCGGCTGACAGTATGGTAGCCCGAGTGCAATGACAACAATTGAATAGCAATTCTAGAGGGAAAATGGAAGTTATGTTGAAATGATCTTCAGGGTTTGGTGAATACATTGCTGACACACAACCACAGCACAGTCAGGGTGGAGGTTACTTCATTCTTGTCATATAGTTTGATTAAAGTCCCAAATTGAATTAAAAGAAAGCAAGGGTAAAATACACATCCATACTTCTGGGTGCATAGGAATACCGTGGACTTTAGTCCTCTCAATTGAGATAGGTGAGTAAGGACTTACTCAACTCCAAGATCACATGATAATGCTTCTAATATTTAGGAAACAATGCCTAACAATCATGAAGTTGATCCCTAACCTTAACTTTATTCGATTGAGGTTTTGCTGTTTCAAAAATACTTTCCAGATGGTCCTTTCTTTCCCAAATATTCAAACTTGTCTCTTTTTCTGAGCTCATAACTCCTGTTTTGGTACACGTTGTCGGAAGGTGAGTATCCATTTTATCTTTTGTAACTTTTGGGTATGGAGATAGAAATTCCTCAAATCTGCCTTCACCACGCCTAAATGTGTATGCTCAATGTGGTTTGTCTGTTGCACGCGATTCTGAGGATAATTACTTTAAGGCGGTGTTCAGGAAATAGACGTGGACGCAGTGGTGTGAAGCTTCGGTCACCAATCGCCCCACTCCCCCTTATTGAGGAAACATGGAAACACAAGTAGTTGAAATTGACACGAATAGGGATGGATGCGATGATGGGGGGCGACAAAATTCTGCCGCATCTGTTGCTGAAACAAACGGCACAAGGTAAAAGCATTGATAATGTGCCAATGTGCAACGCATGGTATTTCCGAAATGGAAAGCAGTTCCGATATCGTAAGAACAGATATAATTTCAAAAAGGCAAAGTCTGGCATGCCTTATGTCCTTACATATTTTACAGTCTTAAGTAATTGTAAGATTGATATTGTCTCGAATATTTGTAGTTTCGAGATAGAATTGCATACATCGTTCCACGTTCCATCGAATTTTTCTAAAGGTTCATAAACCAAATAAAAGGATCCCAAGAGGCGTTTTCTGACGATTGATAAAGCCTTTCCAATGGTCGTTCTGCACCAACGTGGAGTCTGAATAGTTTACACGGGAAGTTTTACCGCATCTAAGTGCCGGTGATTTAGTTCGTGTCTAATTCGAGTGAACCCTCTTCTTCCTCATGCTACAGTTTGGAGATACGTGTTTACTATGCTGGCACACACATCCGGACCAGTGCTAATTCCATGACTGGTATAGGCCACAAAAGTACACGAATGCCGATTCTGTTCAAGTAGCAAAGCGTTTCTAAGTCTCCGTCCTACCACAAAAACCCTGAGTACTTGAGGGTAGCAAGATTAGGCTTTGTGTTCGGCAAAGTTTACGTAGCAAAAATAACTTACTGGACTTCAGTAAACGAATTCCTCGAAAGACAATGTCGTGGAAAAATGCCAATCACTCGTTTACCATAGTACAATTTCAATTTTTGGCCCACTGACAACCTCACACTAAGCTGTTTCCCCAATCTGGTGAGTCCTGTCAACGACGAATCTCGGCAAAAAAAGCCCACCTCCACAACGACTTCATGGTACTTTGACGGAATTTGATGGGTAAAACCTTTGTCCTTAAGCAACAGAATTTTTCAAACTCAACTTTAACGTTTACCTCCGATCACTCACAAGACTTATGCGAAATGGGCACGAAATATTACTTAGTCCACTATTGTTTATCATGTCTAATGAATAACATAGAATCATGCAAAAGTGTTATGCTACATCAAAGAACACTGAGTTGGTCAAGTTAAAAGGATACCATCATGCCATAGGCTTCGCGCAGGTGGACGTTTATAGGTTATGCGTACACTTTTGTATACAGCATGAGATCTGAGTCGCATATCGCCAACTTCAAAAAGGGTTTTACCTCAGATCAGCAAATCAATGTCAAATTGACAGGAGGTATGCTAAAATGCTGCCCTAAAACTAGTTATGTCGGCTACCATCATCTGGAACGATGTTCGGAACTGAATGTATGCATAAAATACAGCATGAAAGTGCCGATAAGAACATTTGCAATCAGTAAAAACGTGAAATTAATGACGTGACTTCGTCCTCAGAAGCAAACTCTGTTAAAACTTCTGGTTTCGTCGTGCAGTAAGAAGTGAATAGACATTCTCCGCTTAAACAAGAAAACACTGATGAACTCACTAATCACTTGGTATGGAAGCGTGTGTAAAACATCCCATTCTCGAAAATTTACCACGCACTCATTACATCAATGGCAACGCTTTGAGAGAGGCAAGGAGGTAGCTTTTGAGATGAAGTCCATCGTTTCACAAAGCTTTCCTTATACCGTTGCATCCCTACATTTAGCGTTTGCTGGAACCATTCGACCCCCTCAATTAGCTGCGGCAAAAGGCTTCTGAAAATGCATGTCCTCCCATCCCTTTGTTAGAAATGAAGCTTTCAATCCAATACCTCGTGAGGTGATTTTTTCGCAAATTTACTTGCGTAAGGCATGGAAAGACCGCCTAAAAAGATCAACATTGTTACAATAACCAAATTTGCTCGAGCAGGTGAATTTGTACTGGCATACTTTTTAAATAAATTAGGCTTATAAAATTTGAACATGTTGAACTGTATCTCTGCAGGACCTCCTCAAGAAAACCTGCTTCTTTAACAATAATATGCGGATTTGCGTAACTATCGAGATGGAAAACTGGTAGCAGTAATTGTGCATTACTAAAATGGTAAAATGGAAGACAAAAGCTAAAAAATAATACTAAGTAAAATAAAGAAATCGGACTCTAGGTCAGACTACAGTTCTGATGACCAGTTGGAGACCTCGATCTGGGCGCTGCAATGCCCACAAAAAAGTATCAAGTACTCAATGCATTGCAAGCTGAAGCTCGGTAAGAGCTCCAACTGAAGGCGATTTATATGTTGAAACCGTGTGGAATTAGCCAACAAAACGTAAACATTAATGCAAACTAAAAGTGTATTTGAACAGTGCCCTAACGTTATCATTGAACAAAAACCTTTCCTTCAACCTCAACAGTATCGCCAGATACCAATATAAGGTACTAAGTTATTTTACGAAAATATCTTTACAAGGTTGGCATTTACCGAAAAAGCCCATCTCTTGAAAACTATTTTCATGTTCCTGACAAAACATGGAGCTTCATCAATTCTCACGCAAGTCCTTATCTGATTTTATTTTGTGCAATAATTACACAACTGAAATGCTCAACTTCGGTATGCACTGCTCGATTGTGTTCATTAAAGCACCATACAAAGTTTTTGAAAGTGCCAATGAAATATCTTATGCGATAACAGTTTTCTTTTGATGAGCCAAAGCTTAGTAAGGTGCCTATTAGTTACGAAAAATAAAAATGAGAAACTACAAGCAGTTGAAACTAACTTATTCTGTGCAACAGAATGTCAAGAAAAGAGAATGCGGTTCAGTGCCCTAAAAAGGCAAAAAATTGAACATAGATTCTGCTAACCCCTTACGGCCTTACTTCGAAACGCAAAGAAACACTCATCTAACAAAGTTGTTATTGATAAAATCTGATTCTGAAGATAGACACAAAAGTCGCTCGTAGGTGAGGTAACACTGTTCTCTTACGAGAGCTATAAGCTGCGGATCTATTTGGTTAATGCCATTCTATAGGCAACCTTTGAAATCGATAAGAAAACGGGAAAGGCATCATAAAGAAAATCAATAGATGATCCTTCTCAATCCCTACTTTTTGATCTATACAATACTCTGTTGCATTTCATGAAGAAACTTTCGATAAAAAACTGAAAGTTCAACAAGCATTTGAGATGTCGTTAAGTTCTTTTATGAAGTAGGAATCAGAACTATCTGTCGTCGTAAAGATTTTAGATGGGAGTTAACTGATGAGTGACATATCAAACATAATACGATTTTCGACACCTATGCCCTTAGGACAAGAATGCATATTCTAGTATTTTAGAACATTAACTAACTGTAAAAAATGTAGATCTCCTATAATATAGAATTTGGCTGAATCAAAAAAGTTAACGTATTTAATTTACAGTGCAAAACAATCAATTAGTGCAAAAGTTAAGGCAAAATAAGTGATTTATTAAATAGTCTTGGGCTGAAACTGTGTAAGCATGGCATTATAATACTCTTGTCAAGTATGACAAACAATAATAACAACCAAGAAATGATTGACAGTATGGATGTCTGTGAATTAGCTCACCTGAAAGAGTAGAGCGAATGCATGACATATTGGGTAAAGACGCGGAACAAAAGATGCGTCATCCCATAATTGCCACACGGCCACACCATATTTGGGTCTCCTGGCATCGCGTATCGCGACCAATGTTGCAAAAAAGAGCATCATCGAATCAGAGGCAGCAAGAGCAATCAAGTAAAGATTTGTAGTGGTTCCTCTCATGTATTTTGAAGTTAGGACGCCAATTGACAACACATTCCCAACCAATCCAATGCAGGATATTGTGAGCGTTACGATACCCATGAAATAGTGTCCAATTAAGTCTCGATGATATTGTGACGAAAAAAAATCAATACTAAGTGCCGAACTTCCATTTACTTCAGTAACCTCAAAGTTCGGATTATTAACTAGATCAGCAGACAAATTCGATTCCATGACTGAAGTCCGCAGCATTCCAATCCACTAAGAGCAACCGCTTTAAGGGTAAGACAGTTTCGAAACTGTTCCGAACGTCAGAATCCGTAAAAATTTAAAAACATAAGTTAGCTCCGAGGATCATAGCAGCGAAAAGAATAGTTACATAAGACGAGCCCAAATGCCCTTCGTGCGTTCAAATCCTTTAGTCTGGGAAGGTTAGTACAGCTACTGGGACGTAAGAAGTCACTTCAAACACTCACCAATCGTAAGAAAAGAGATGGCTCTTTCTTGGAAAATTGAATATTATCAATTATGTCTTGTGTAAGAAAACGCACGAAAATCTAAAATTATGGCTTGTTTATAGGGTAAATGCTATGTAGTATTTTACAATTGGTATTTGAATGCACATTGGATATTCGTCCAATCTCCATTTGATGAAGGTTCAGCAGGTTAAGCATTTGACCATGAATAGGAGATTGGCCTCTGGACTGTGCGTGGATTTTCTGGTCGAGTGCTGTCTTCCCCAAGGGAGCCTTTCCAAGCTTTAAAACAATGCTAACGTGTCGGAACATTGCTGCTTGAAGGATAGTTTTATATTTATCAGAAAAGTAATACAAACTATATTACTGCTTTTTGTGGCATCCCAAAGCTTCCCGCAGGGTAGAAAAAGGAATCAGGTGGAACTGAATGCATGTATTCCAGAAGGAACAAAGGGAATAAACCTGAGCTTGGCCCGAGGGTCAGCACACGCGCACAAGAGCCTGACTAATCTTAAAATGGCCAGGTGGTTACATGGTCAAAGTATTACACTGCCCACCTCTTCTCATGAGCGACCTCCTCGGCGCTCCCCTTTAGTTCACCCCGGTACTTCGAGAAAGCACCCACAAGCCAGCTATATCAGTCTACAGCTACTAGGAGACTCGGGAGCCTGCTAGGTCTCCTCAGCAGCGTCAGTCTGATACCCCGAATGAGGGCTGCGTAGGTCCGCTGATCATCAATTGCTTCCATGACTGGGCGGTGGAGCTCTGATCTAAAACAGACTTGTCATAGGGAAAAGAGGACCAGACAGCCCCATATATAATAAGAACAGTAGTGTCATTTTCGACACCTATACAGGAGTGTGGTAGGGAAAATCCGTTACAAAACTTTTCCAGATGTATCAGGTCGGTGCTGCTACGATTATTAAACGCAGACATCATTTTAAAGCCTCCTATTGTAAAGAATTCAGAAATTCTCTCGTCCCAATGCAAATGTGCTTTTTCCATACTGTAGCTATAGGCCACTAACGGTTGATAATGGGATAGAAGTCATTAAAAAGTAGAACATATTTTCCACCGCCACTAGTGTAGCGTCCTGAGACTTCTCACCTGGTAGAAGAGCAAAAATATATTTTGTAGGGAGACCAAAGAAATTAAGACTAAGCTTGGTTGGAAGACTAGCCCACACATACAAGGGTCAGAAGAATCCTAAAGTAACCGCCGGACGTTAGGTAGTCACATCAGCAACGTATTACATTTAGATTGAATGGAATGCAAAAGCTTAAAATACGGATTAAAAAGAGCTGTAAATCTAAGATCTTCTTCCTCACTCTCCATATCTTTCGTCTCATCCTCCTTTGCAGCAGGGTAATACGAAGATGATTTGTTAAGCATTCCAGAAGGGGTTCGGCTAGAAGGGAAAAGGTGAACCAAATGATTTTCAAGCTATTCCAGTGGAGGGTCGAGCATGCCATCTAAACGGCATCCAAATCAATTTTACGCGCATTTTAAGCAAAAAAACATTTATTGCATTAACCTATTCCAATCCTTCACTATTGATAGGGTCCTTTTTAGCTTATTTGTTTAAGCTTAATTACACATCGCATACATGATATACGATGTCTAATAAAAGGAAAAGAAGAAGGTGGTGACTGAAGTGATCTAGAGTTAGCCTCTTTTGGCTCCGCTAACCTGCATTTTACATGCAAGGAATGTTTCGAACAATTAGGACCGAAACAAATTACTGACACCTTGAAAATGACATAAAACACACAACCATAATAGTTTCCCAACCACCAAATGAGCATGGCAGTAAGGACTTCGTAAGTCTCAAGAATCGCCTGAGGGCACTGGTCAGAGGTTAGCCCACTCGATGGAGAACAAACGCCCAAAGAAGCACCAGTGATCAAAACCACAAAGGCGCAAGTAGTTCCGCAATATGGGAAGGTCTTTAACGTTCACAGTCTGCATAGATATGACTAATAAAAAGAATTTAAATACTTAAAAGATTTAGTCTTTTTACCATGCCTAGCGCATCCCTGCAAAATAAAAATATACATGAACTAAATAAACGATCACTCAAACACTTTAAATTATAAAATGAGTTCTAAGTCAGGTGAGTTTACAACATTTAAACCTAATTTATGCTTGTTTTCATTATGCAGTGCAAAATAAACCACCCTTATTATGAAATTTTTAAAATATATTCACGTACAAGAGGTAACAATGTTTAAATCCACCTAGTGTCCGCCATTGGTGGTCCGTTGAAATTCCTTGCCGCCATTACCGTTACAGCGAGATTTTGATGTATTCTTTTGTTTGGGCTGTGTAAATACTAAGTCTTCACATAAATTGCAGCGCATCTTTTTGCTCTCTACAATACTTTACTGCGTGGTTGGGTGTTTCTTGCCTTGAACTGGAGTCTCGGGACTCGTGCCGCCTATCTGGCTTTTCGTTTTAGAATGAGCAAAGTTTCGTTTCGTACGCGCCAAATCGACTTCAACAGATCACTACCAGTCGTTAGATATGACTCCGAACTGTTCTTTGAACTCGGTGAGGGAGCGTTTGTCAACCGCGGAGCTCCCACAGTTCCCAGTGGGATGGAGCGTGAAGAAGAAAACGTAATACTTCTTGAAAACTCTATTTATTTCGTTAATGAATACTTTTCATACAGTTTGTCTCTCCTTCTTTGATTAATCATGTGACTAGGGTGGGCGGCATTGTAGCCTATGGTTGGCTAGTGGTCCATCGGTCGGTTCCGTCGCCGAATGGCAAGAGGCGTTTAGCTGCTGATGTCATATTTTTCGGGTCTTTACTGTAGTCTGAGGGAAATCTGGTTTTTCGTTGCCATGGGTGTTTGTTTTTGGCATGTCTTGACTAACTTGTTGGTTGTGATTTCAGGAACATCACTTCATCGAAGTGCTGCAGGCATTACAGATGCAGAAGAATGCTGATGTCAGCATTCCTGTTCCTGAGATCATCGATAAATCTGAAGAATATGAAAAAATCTACTCAGCTACCTTCTCTCTTCCTAGAAATTTAATTCACATACGCAGTAAGTAGTAATTCAATCACATCATGCGTTTTCCAGCAATAGCTTTGGAGGATGAAGAGTCCGTCGAGTATGATATGGACTCCGATGACGAGGAGTGGCTTCGTAGGAGTGGTCTAAATTTATCACCCGAAGGTTTTGAATGCATGATTGACCGACTGGAACGGGGCTGCGGCCACGATGTCATGAATCTCGAGGAAGCACAATTGTTACTTAGTGGTGATCAGACTACTATAATCGCAGTTTACGACTATTGGATAAACAAGCGAGTGCAGTGTAGACAGCCACTAATTCTCTCCGTTCGCCAGGAGAAACGAGATGGCGGAAGTAACAATGATCCCTATGTCGCATTTCGGCGTCGAACCGAACGGATGCAAACACGCAAAAATCGGAAAAATGATGAGTACTCATACGAAAAAATGCTTTTGCTTAGAGAACAGATGGTGTCTCTGGGGTAAGGTAGTGTAGTCTGATGATTTTCCTCTAGTGAAGTAGTATCGCGTCTGGTAAAGAGAGAGATAAGTAAAGAAGCTGCTATCGATGTAGACCGTCGGGTTTTTCAGTTGCGCTACAAGATCGGGGACTGGGAGGCCGCCCAGCTGTCAGAAGCGGACGCTGTCGCTCAAAAAACGCCCAGATCTTTCGAACGTCTATTTGCTCTTAGTACCCGAAAGGTATGTTAATGTTAGACTTTCGTTCATGTGCCGTAGCAACTTGCTCCGCGAAAGCGAAATATTCAAGGGCGGTCGTCGGAAAATGCTCTGGTTGACTCATCGGATACATCTGACGCAGAAAGTGGCCAAGCTCGAAACGATCCCTTTTCATTCATTCGGTTGTCCGGTTGTAAATATCAGAAGCCGTCGTAGGTTTGACTATTTATCACATATTTTCCCTCTTTGTGAGCATCTAACGCGTCTCATTTCAAATTTAGAGACTGCCGACATGCTCGCACAGCTATCCCTGAAGAGACGTTTTGCCTCTCTCGCATCGATCATTTATGCCACAACTTCCGACGTACTCAGACAGGCTATCTGCGTCGCCGGTTTGGTAGAGGGGGCCGAACTCACTTTGATCGCGTGCATCCACCGGAAGGCGTCGATAGCTACCTCCAGCGCCTTGATTCTTTACCCTCACCTCCAGAGATTCAAACCCTCCAACTTCAGCGTTTTGCTCGTCCTGGCGGTTCCGTTCGTTACAACGGTTCCACTGCTGGTTTCTTGTCGGACGAATCGTCTGGCACTCCAAATCACCCAAGTCTTTCTCCCACAAATGAAGACGTCCTTTTTAAACGTTTTCAATTTTACCTGCGAAGTCTCCCCAAGCATCGCTTAGCCCTCAGCCTTTCTAGACTAACGGGTGGTCGCTGCATCAACAGTGGCTGGTTCGGTAGCTCAGGAAACAGCATTTACTCACGCTCAACCCCCGATAGTGTATATAAGATCCCGGTTAGTCCTTCTTCGAATTCCCTTCCTTCGCCAAACACCGGATTCTCACTAGTTGGGAAGTCTGCCTCCACCACTGTCGCAGTGAAAACGATGCTGGCGACGAAGAGCAAAAGCTACTATCAATGTCGCCGAGGCGTAGATACAACACTCACACACTCTCTGTGTCCTGTCGCGACGTCTCCGAGCGATGGTGTCGCCGTTCTTGGCAAGGGTCGCATAGTGCCAGTCGGCAGCTCCGCCACGGTGAGCGCTTTTCTGGTAAAATTGCGTTTACTGCTTGTCTTAATTGCTCGCACACTAACAACGCCTTGTGGAGAACCCTAGTTCCGGGCATCTGCAAGTAAATAACAAGCTATTACCACCGCAATCCCAATAAGAAAACGATCGGGTTGGGGCAAAAATTTCGTAAGTCCGCTGCCCGTACGAGTTCTATCGTGATGTCCTGCTCACTGATAGGAATACCTAGTCAGCCACCAAACCATGTCAGACCAAATCGCATAGAGACGATCGTTGTTGGACATGAAGCCTTTGGTAGAGACGGTCTTCGTAGTTGGTTTTGCGGATGTGGTTTCACAAATTGACGCAGTTTCTGTCGATGTGGGTGCAGTCAAAAGGATAAGAATTTTATAATTCCCTAGTACGCATGCATGTGACGAAGGATATAGATTGGCTGGAGTCATTTGGAGCATTTCTAGTTCGTGTGCTCATACCAAAATGTATGGATTTTATACCTAAATACGCATACTGTTAGCTGGTTAGAGTTGAATTGGAAGACAAGGTTGACGTTGCGAGGTTTACATGCGAGCGCGCACAACCGCGCGAAACGATGCATACGTAAACAGTGGACCAGCATCTGCTGGAGAAATAGAAGCACTCTGTCGAGCTCACGCCTACCTACAGAGGGAAAAAAAATGTGAACAAGAACTGTCTTGTCTTTAATGATGCCTTAATGACAGTAATTCCTTTTAAACCCGAGTGCGACATGCTTGGCGCATGCAATATCGCTAGTGGTACAGCTTGGAAAGCCACAAGAGTATACATACTTCTGAAACTTCAAATGCTCTTTAATGTCTTGACCTGGACTCATACCTGGCGCGATTGCCACATTTGTGGCATAAAATATGATGTAATCACGAGAGGCTACCCACAACACGGTAAACGCCAAATCTTTGACAAGCGCCCCAACCATGGTAGGCACCAGATTTCCGGCTCATTACAATTCAACAATATTCTACGTTAAATGAGTAGTCTTGGTGTGCGTGAAATGCAAATAAATGCTTCATTTCATCTCAAAAGAATGGCAAGGCGTTGGTGCTGATGACCAATGCATCCGCTACTCCGCTGGCAAAAAAGGCCCAACTTCTCAATGGCGGGGGAACACTCCATATAACATCGAGAAAGGACAGTGTTTTCCCACTCTTACCGCACCAAGTAACCCCGGTTCGAAAAAACCCTGTGACCGTAAAAAACTCAAATCCTCAAGAGGATGAAACCGCTCCGACGGACGAAAAGCCCAGCATAATTCACCCAGTTGTATACAATGTCTGAGGAGTCGCATTGCTGCATACCTGTCCACATTTTCCGTCTAAAGCGCTAGACACTAGTCAACGCGGCTACCCTCTTGTTTTACCCATCCTCAGTTCCTTCCTATCCCGATTTAGTGCTTTGTACAGACCTCCTCCCCTACTCATTCGTTACCGCTGTACTATAAGTGTATAGAGATAATGCGAAAGTCTTAGCTAAATCTGCTTCTCATTGCCTAGCTTGAAGCGTCTCCGTAGTTTTGCGACAGTGTATTTCAGCAAGGAGGGTGTGTGCGGATAGTGGAACGTACTTTTATCCATTTGTTCGTACACCATTGGGGTGCTGACCTGGCAACTTCAGATGACCTCTGAAAGCGTTCCGATAAGTTGCGGTGGTGGATGGTTAGACAGACTCGCCGGACGCAAGTATCCAAGACATTAAGGTTCTGCTGCAATAGAAGCGGTGTTCACTAGCCCACCCGACCAATGCTTGTCCGAAGTTGACAAAGCTATGCGTCAGAGGTGGGCTTGATGTGATGGTCGCCAAGTTCTTTACCCGCACCGACTAGCTACTTCTTTGACATTCCAGCTTTATACATTATTTCTTAACTCTAAGATGACTACCCAATGTTGTACAAACTGCCGTGCATGAGTCACTCATAAGGAGTGTGAGTTGTACCGGAGCGAAAGACGGAACACACGTATCAGGGGTCAAAACCCTATTTTGGCGCAACGCTAACCGTTCCAATCCATTCAATTAAAAAAGGCGAAAATGTTTTAGCAGGCATGGGAAATAAGACGCCGCAGAGGGACTCGCAAAGCAATCGTCAAACTAACCCATTTATAATGCTCCTAAGGAGATCTAAAGATGCACGTAATTATTTTGCATTACTTATTCAATTTGAATTGTTAATAATAAACTCCGAGTATTGCTGCACTCCATTTTCACAGTCCCACACTCATAGTGTGCTCATTTTTCACCAGTAATGTCGAAATAAAAACAGTGAAGTTAGGAATGAATCAGGAAATTCATACAGAGCCATGAAAATACTCGAAGTAGGTAGAAAGTGAAAGTAAATGCAGCATATAGGTAAGAGACAAAATCTCTCCTTCCTGCAGAAAATAGCATCGCTTTAAAAGTTTGCTCATCATCACATCAAGGACTTCGATCATGTTTGAACTGATTTTGGGAATGGTTGGGTTTAAAAAAACCGCTTTGGCAAAACATAGCCTACGATTCCCACTCATAAATCAGGATGTCATCCGTCATGAATGGTACCATTGTAGACTTTTTGAACGGTGATAACACTAGTAACATTGCAGCACAGCTAGAGTGGAGCATGAGTCAGTGACAGGCCCGCACATTTCCCGTGATCACATTAGGGCTGATACCATTTACATTATACCGATGTAAAACGGCACGTTTTGAGCAGCCTATGACGTTTCGGAACCAAAAGAGTTACACCTACGGCACAATGGGTTGTATTTTTACTCCAAATTCATGAATAGCGTGTGAATGCAAACGTAACGCATCAATTGGGAAGCAAAAGAGCATTTGATGGTTCATAAACAAGTAACTTTCATTTCTCCATAGCCTTCACCAGATAAAATTTAAAATTTCCTCCAAAAAGGTTTATGTACGAATCTTAAGCATGAGGGATCGCTGCGTGGAATTACGCACTTCGATTAACCGATGATAGTGCAAAGATCGCAAGATACAAAGTGATTGTGCCGGCCTTTAAACAACAGCGAAAGATGACCGCATCTTTGAGATAAAACTCATACCAAGCCTTATCATGTAATGCACACGCACTTAGTGCAATACTAAGATCAAATTCAACTAGAGTGCACCCTGCCCCCCTACCTCCAATTCGCACAGTTTGTGCTCTTCCATTTCTACCATTAAAGCATCACGACTTACACGGGATAGTACATCCAGACTCATTGCAAACCAGTACCGTTTATGTCAATATTGTACAGCTAAGTGGATTCTGTCACCACATGAATTAATACCTTACAAATTTCTTTAAGCAGCTCTAGCCAACCACCCTGATGCAGTATTTAATAAGATCCAGAGGAGCTCCCTTAGTGGCAAAAAGCGTCCTTGAAAAATGACTTACGAATAATGATAATAAATCCACAGCCCAAGGTAACTGTGCTGATTTAATTGTTAACCAACAGAGGCAACAAAATTGAGAAAAATCTGCAGGTCGTGATCGCAAGTGCAATCAGAAAACAGCTAAAGAATCATGAAAAATGTGAAAATAACTCGTACAGGAACTACTGGAAAGAATGAATTGATGACCTGGTTGGTATATGTTAGGGGGTCGATATTAGTGGGAGTTCTAAATTATTGGGTATAAAGGGTAGACTAAAAATGTAGTGTTCATAATTTTGTGCTTGGAACAAAAAAACCTTGAGCAGATTGGAATTGGATCCAATCCAGCATAAGTGCCGGAGAGTGAGCGACAGTGACAGACCAAATAACGTGGTTACTGCGATTGCTCGAAAAGGGCCAAGGATATCAGTAAAGCCACACAAAGATAAATATGTTATAAAGAGCGCATGAAATAAATTATGTGCGCAAGCGCACCCACGTAGGAAGTATGCCAGGTAATCTTTCTGCTGCGCAAATAGATTACCTGTGCCGCTTACAAGCTAATTACGTATGGTGATAAGGGCCTCAAGCTCCTTTCCACTACAGCTTTTCCCATTCCGATTGAAAGTATCATCATGGAGATTCACAAGTAAGCCATGACAGTTAAGGGCTTTACCGAAAAGCCAAATTACCCCGACTAAAAAAGTTACTAGTCATCCATACACTAAAGAGATGGTGAAATACTGACGTCAGCGACTGTCCAACTACTGTTACTATACAAAAATTACATTGCATTGCAAAAACTTGAAAATAGGAGGCAAAAAAATCAGTATGAAACTGCTACCGGGGTCGCTAATGGCTGCACTTCACGAGATCGCATGAATGAAACCACATTAACTCCATTATCTCAACTGCATATCTGAGTACCACAAAAAGTGTAATCGAGTGACAAAGAATTCTAATGTACTTAGCTATTATTATGGGATAGAAACAAAATTTGATTCTGGAAAATTAAAAATAAGGAGATTCAGCTCATTAACTGACAAATGAGTGTACTGTATTGCTGGAGTAAAGAATGGAACCAAGTTCACAGTTGCAAAATTACAAATAGTGTCTAAAAATCAAACTACACGATTCAACGGTAAAATGCAAATGGAGATGTTTGGTTTTGTTACGTCCCCCAGAAGACAAGATGCAACCAGTGTAAAGATAAGAGTAAATGTGTATAAGCTTAATTACTTCCAGAGTTTATAACTGACTGATGTTATAAGTGCATAATCATCAACTTAAAAGAATTACCAAAACAATGAATAGGGAACTCACCCATAAACTTGCAGAGTTATCGCCATTCGAACCGTAGTTGTCGACGGAAAATTGAGTAGGTCAAGGTGCTTAACATTAGGACCTATAAAATGGTGTAAAAATTAGCAATGGTCGCGGTGAACTCAAAAGTCAAGGAGCCGCATAATGCCATGAAACCACCAATTACAAATACTCTAGGATAGTTATCGTTAGACCCAAAAAAACTTTGCGACAGTGAATTGCTAGGTGTATTTCATGAGACAAAGCGGAAGCTGGTAGGAAGGCATCGGAAGACAAAACCGCCCGGCAAAGTCAATCCTACAAGTTCAAACAAGTCATAACATACAAAAGAGTATGGCGAACTTGACCCAACTACAATGTTTGACCTCTAATAACCCGGCACATAGCATTGTTCATAATCGCAAATAACCAGCGGGACTGGCAGAAAAGGTTCCCAAAAGTAAGGTCTGGGGTCATTATTATCTTGAAAATAGAGATAAATAGCTGCCTGACATCGACCCTTCTAAAGATGAACAAGTAGAGATCCAGGTTTTGCTGGTCAAAAGTTCGAGTAGTTTGAAGTTGGAACGTATTCCTGAACGCCAAGCTAAAGCCCATATGGGACGAGAAGAAATGTCAGAACAAGTCTAAAATTCAGTGAGTTCGTGAAAAATGCGAACCTAGCCGAAACAAGTGCAAACTCGTAAGTCTAGTGTTTAACGCGAAGCAACAATGGTACAAGGAAAAGAGCATTCGGGTAGTGAGGACCTCTGCGCAAAAAAATGAAATGTATGGATAAATAAACAAGATTCCGAACCCAAAGCGAGCTAAACGAATTGCAAAAAAATAAACTTCTCCTCATGCCTTGTGATGCGTTCCCCCGATACCAATGGATACAGTAAACATGTAGGTCAATTATAAACTCATAAGCTTTGACCAATTGGCACTAAAGTTATGCAGGCTTAATTTGCTGTTTTGCAGGCACAGATGCTAACTTTGCCTCACTTTTTTCTTTAAGAAACTAAAGACACGTTTATAAATCTTGTAGTATTATAGCATAAAACAAAATTAGAATACCTTTATCTTGTAAAACTTTTTCGGTTTACTTAGAAAACCGACCAACTCTTGCTGTATAAGCCTCCACTATTGGACAATAATTGCTGCAATTAAATTGTGAATGGGAAGAGCGGGATTTAAATACAGGTGAAACCAATTTTTTCCGTCATCAGTTGTTGTGACCCTAAAATTTGTGCAGCGACCACTTGTTTTCCTCTTGGAAATCTTGGTTACATCTTCGTTGTCAACAGCGTTAATATTGCCCATTCTAGTTTAGCCTTTGGTCTCTGTCAAACCGTCATATTATTTTTGCGTCTCTACGCCGTAGTTTCTAGAATAATTTTCTTTATATAGACATTAGTGAGTCTAGTTCTTAATAAACGCTGATGAGCCTTGCTGGAATCGCTGCTGAACATGGGTTGCTAGTCCCTTGAGAGCATGGTCTGAATAGTTTGTATAATCTCAGGATATGTTAGATACCACATGGTCATCTTGTAATGGAGAGGTCAGATTTTCATAAGCTTGCCAAAAGTACGTGGTGTTTCTAGTGAAGAGTTTGAAGACATTTGTGCACATTGCAGCGCTTCATCGAAGCTTATTTACTAGAACTATATCATTTTTTCATCAACTGGTCTTGTGCTTGAACAAAAATTTACGCCTGTAGAGGACCAGAGGAGGTTTATTTGTCTGTCTTTGTGTAGAGTTCCAACTTTTAAAATTGCATAAGTGGAAGAACTATGTAATGAGATGTCATCATTGTTACATTAGAGCTCCTGAGTTGTAGGGTCCGTGTTGCCTGCGTGTATGATTATTTGCATTAAATCTTTTTAAACTTTGATTATAGGGAAAGCCTAGACAAACCAATCAAACTGATACAATGAACTCGTCTGTTGAGCCTTCGTATGGTGTGATTGCTGATGTATCGCGTTTAGTGTCGGTAGCAAGTTACGCACTCGCCAGAAGTGAGTTCCTTGTTGCTTCCAAATGCGATTAGTTCTATCAACGGCAAGTGGCATCTTCCATGTGTACTAATAATGCGACCAAAGTCTTGATGCTGCTTGTTTCAAATTTCGCATCGATAATTATTGCCTAAGCATTCGATTTTCGTGTTGTCAAACAATCACCTTTAATCACGGGAAAACGGAAGTTCTCTCAATGAAATAAAGCTAAGGAAAGATGGGACGAACAGCGAATGGAAATCAAGCAAATGGAATCAAGAATGAGTAGGGTAACTAGAGAAAAGTTGATCAACGGAGGTAGGTTCCTAGAATACCAGTTAGCAGTTGCTGCAGACAAGAGGCCAATCTACAACTGAAACTACTCCGTCGCTAGCGATTATTGGGTCTCCAACGGCCAATGCCTACAAATAAAATGATAGTATCACTACACTACAAAATCACTCGATTTGTTTCTTGCATCTTTGCAGAGTAGGGCAAAGTTGTGGAACATCATTTGCATTACATTTTATTCTGAGTGTTTATTAAGCAAAGTGAATGAAACCTGCAAACACACCCTAGCGAAAAGGCTGCTTTATGGGGTGCGACATATAGGAAACATACCCAGTGGTTTGGATCGAGACCGTCATAGCCGATGAAGGTATTGCCATCCAAATTTCGCTTAATCGTGATGTCTGTTCCCGAGAGAGCTTTGATGTTCTGTATGGTCTCTGAGTCAATGTTACCATCTTTGCCGGTAATCAGTTGGTGCGGCAAAGTATGCATCTCGAAGAGCTTAAGCGTCAAGTATAAATAACAAGAAAAGAACTTCACTTATGATTTGCAGCAGGCGCAATCATGAATGCAGCATCGTTATCTGAAAGTCTTCTCAAATGATGTATGAGATTACAATGACGTTGTCTTCATGATCTATGATCCGCAACATACTATGCGAATTGAAGGCCTCAGACACTGAGAATGCCCACTCGAACACCAGATTAATCCACTGAAGCCCTTACATATACTGTGGTAACTTATTTTTTCGTTTTGCTAGACCGACTTAAAGGAGACATACCTTTCTCAGTTGGTCTGACCCATACGCATTCTCTTTGTTTCGAGTTTTCCATCCATGATTTTGAGGTGCAAAGAAAACAACGTTTGGAGAGTTTCGATTTAGAATATTGCCGAAGTCTGCACGCTGCATCTTTTCATATGTGTCACTAAAACATGGTAACTTCATAAATATCTTTGACATTTTTAGTTCACCTATCTCTACCTCCCGATGGACCAACCTGAGTTCAGGGTTCCCCCTTATTATCTCCATCATCGTTTTGGTCGGAGGAGGATTGACTGATGATACTGAATAGATCACACCGCCTCTGAATGGTATTGGTCGCAGACTGGTAGTCTCCGCCTTTCCAAAATGCAACTAATTAATAGAAGAGCGACGGCAAATAGAGATCTCTGACCGACATTTTGAAAATCAAATTCCAAGCACCGGTTGCTGTTAGGTGACTTACTCGACTGCCATCTCTTGTGCGGATGTATTGGTTTGTTACAATGGGATGCCTGCCGTCCGGAGCTGTGTACTTTGTGGTGTAGAGACATTCCTGAGGCGTACCTATTCCATGCCCGTTTTTCATCTTACAGTCTTGTGAGGTCAGAACGTGATTTTGGTAGAGGGAACAATCGCTCCTCGAGGTTCCTGTTATTAAACAATAGAGTAGCTAAAGCGACGCAGATTATTTACGTTCTAGTATATGTGAGCATTCCTACTTACGACGAAGTGCCTCTGGTGTTGGCAGAAGAACGACGGCGTCACTGCTCGGCTGGATATCGATTCCGCAACCTGCCATTTCACGAGCACCTTGACTTAGCTCCGGGTCCGGGCCATTAGCAAGGCAATCCAGAGCACTGCGAAAATCCAACGCTTTAAAAAAATAATGAAATTTCATTCTTGCTTGCTTTTTGTAGAGTTAGGCAACATTCGCATCTTTTAAACTATTATTAACATACATGCAGGACTTTTTAGAGCATTGTTAAGTTTATGGACAACTCCATTTCCTGCCATCATATCCATTTTCTGAAAAGCAATTTTAGCGCCGCAAGAGTCTTCAAGCACTCTTGATCCATCAGGCTGCTGCATGCCACGAATAAATGTATTTGACTTTGAAGGACCCAGCAATCTCTTCTGGTCATCTAATGACTGGCCACACACAAGTCCATCGCTTATGTGTTGCTTAACGAGATCAGAAATTGCCTTTAAAAAAACAGAACAGTTTTGAAGTATTTTACTCAATTTAATAAGTACGGTCTCATCTATTCACTTGCCTGAGGGTCACTAATGCTCCGTTTGGCGGCTTGCCAAGCACTGTTAATAGGTGCAAACACAGTGTACCTCTCCTTACTGTTGGCGGCACCAAGTTGGCTTCGAAGGTCGGCAGGAATGTCAGCCGTAAATGCTGATAGATCTGGATCATCTTGGAGTCTTTGGAGCACCGAGTCGTACCTGTCTGATGCATCAATGGGCTGTTTGGAACGGAGAAACGCCCTATTTTATGTGATGCTGAGCTGGTATAGCTTAAAATTCCCAACAACTTTTAATTACCAAAGTTGATTCGTGTAAACGCATACGTTTACGCCGTACTGACCAGACAGCAATCACTTTTAATATCTTTGTGTAAGAAAGCGCAAAAAACTTACCCCGCTAGTAACGTGAATGAGACCATTTGAAGTTTCATAATCTGGTCTTGTAAGAAGTTGGCATTCCACGAAAACTAGCTGAAAGCAAGAATTAAATTGTCTGATTTCATTGCAGACGTATTTTTTTATATTGACAATTATGTTCATTCAGATGTCAATTAGCAAGTTTTTTAATAACCTGGAATCGTTTCAGAAAGCTTGACTTTTGGAAATAGTAATGTCGGAAACATGATAAAAAATGGGAACTCACTCCGTTGCGATAAGTGGATACTTTCAACGGGTAACCGCTTTTAGTGATTATGTTTGCACCACTTGTGAATTCACCAGAATAGTGGCGACCGTCGATGATAAGGTTGCTAATGTCAGACTCTCGGCTGAAGATACAAGAAAATGTTAGTAAGCCCCTTCGTTACTAGTTTCTCATGTTTCTTCACCTTACCATCATACTTACAATGACGGCACTAATGAACCCCTCGCTACTTACATGGTCTGTGAAGCGATGTCTTGTTCCGGTACGAAGACTGTGAAGTCTTTTCCATCTTTGTCCAAGGCCGGTTCAACCTTGTGAAGGATGTCAGCAGTTTCCACTTTATTCATTTCTGCTAGCGTCGGGATTATGGGCATATACGTGGGGTTCTTTTCAACGCATTCGTTGTTTACTATTGGCGTTCTTTTGTATCCGGGACAGCAGTCATATACAATTTTTCTAAAGGTTTAAAAACCGAAATTAATAGAATAACTCGCGCAAATGACAGCACCAACCGCGCCCATGCCTATGTTTTCATGAATGCATAAAAGTGCGCTGTTAATCATCATGGTAAATGAAAATTTGTTAACCACCAATCGCACTTCATTTGCCCAGGTATGTATTGTGGCTTCCAATCCAAAGGTGGGTTAGCTGTGTTACTCAATTTCTAACGCTCCCATAATCCCATTTTTAGAGACTTTCCTCAACGCCTTTTTAGCTTTGCATTCGATCTACTGCCGTCGGGACTGGCGATGTGGGAGACACGCTGGATTGCACTAAATACGCTGAAACATGTCTCTAGTGTAAACTGATGTGTTAGCACTAAACATGGCTGTTTTTTGGCATGAATAATGAAGTCTAAGCGTGACGCTATGGTACCAGTGGATTCAATTTTAAATGCAGTGCCAAAATAAGCCAAATCTCCCAGTTCTCCTAAGCATAGCATTAATTTGAAGGACCTAGACTCAATACTGTCTGCTGCTAATCGTCTTCCTTTGACTTCCATGAAAACGTTTGCAATTGCTTTCAATGGTCTGTACTGGTTCCACAACAGGCACTATTGATGAAAAATGGCTTCAAGCCACCCAATTCCAATAACGTTTACTTCACAATGACTGAATTGCTTTCATCTCTGAATTCAACCGTAACAAAGGTACTACTAAAAAGATGGCAAAAAATAAAAGTAGACTTCTTCGTTGTTTTCTTAGTTTATGTATTTCACGTAAGTGTGGTAGTGCTTTAAGTGCAATTGCTAGGAACGGAGCCTAATTGTGCAAATTTTGTATTTGAAACGTGGACATATAAACGATTCGCAAAACTACCTTTTCGATGTCTATTGCTGCTATCACATACTCAGGCAATGCATCTGCCTATTTCATGCTTGCTCATTCATGGGTGATGCACCTGAAAGCAAATCTAATTGTACACCGATCCGATTTATACGCCATCGGGTTAGCACTTAGCTTCTGCCATAGTTTCACCAATGCATTGGATCTAACTTACTAAACTGAACTCCGATTCCTATTGAGGGATTCGAGTTTTGTATGTTCAAGCCAATTGTAGCATAGATAGGTGTTTCCCATGGTTTTGTATGGTAAAATCGGGGTTCTTCAAAATTTTGTACAAATATTTCTGCCTAGCTCTTAACATTCGATGAGTATAAATATCAACAGAAAGCCTACTTGTTATACGCAATTGTAATAATCTGTTCTCTAAATCGTTGCCCTTGTAAAGGTGGTGAGATAAAATGTGATATGGTAAACGTACAAAAGCAATGAGTTGCCACCAAATTTCTCAAAGAATGCACAGTGAGGTAATACATCCAGCTTATTCACCCTTTACTCATCCCTATGTCTCCATACCAATGGTACAAGTCGCTGCAATGCTAAACACGCTAAACCTACCCATTCTTTCCGTCTACTGGGCCACAAATCCATGCCTTGACACTTTCCCCACCAGGTTGGGTAACCATCTTATATGCGCAGAGGTTGACACTTTGGAATAGAGGCTTGTATTCTTTTCGTTCGTACTCCTTAGGTAGCTCGGGTTCCAACGCCTGGCCTTGAGTGGGGGTCGTTCGGAACAGAAATATTTGCACCAAAAACAGTAGTATTGATGTCATGGAACACAAGGCTACACGTCCCATCTTTACCGACGTTGTCATCAACGCTTCTGTGTTAAATGTGTGTGCGTGTTTGCGGGAAGCTGAGGTTAAAATTTACATGTATATGTCACCAACCCTGCATATGTATTCTCTCAGGCTATAGGACTGTCACTTTTATAAACAATGGCCATCTTTCGATTGTGTACGTGCATACATGTATGCATGATCGACATCAAAACTTTTATCGAATCAGCCCAGTTTCTTCTAAAGCACAGCCATTTAACCACACTTTCAAGTTGTAACAGGTAAGGCAATCCTTGGTTTTGTACGCTACGTCGGTTAAATGTAAAGCGCATTTACTTAGGATATTATTCAGTATTATCAAGAAAATGGTAAACATGTTAAGGCAGTTAAAAAGTCTACGCTTGAAGCTCAGGTTGGTTTGATGTGCAACTTTTAATCCCTCGTAAACGAATGAGGAAAAACGCTGAGAAATGCAAACTGGCATCTATAGTGCCCCAAAGGGGTTTAATTAATGAAGGTAGGCCTATTGGCTGAACTGAATACATGCATCCAACAAAATGGAAGGCGATTAAAATGCTAGACCGCAACCAAAACTAATAGTCAAAGGAAGCATTACAGTATCGTAGATGTATAATTGTGTATTTTATTGCTTTCCATACTCTTGGCACCAATTGCTGCTGGAAGCTGTTTAAAGTCGATAGCATAGGGATGCATGGTTCTGTCATTTCCACCGGAACCTCTCAACTCCAACATTTCAAAGTGGAAAGCGCCCACAAATCTAGCAACCATTTGAAGCGGCAAGGCAGATCGAAGGTAACTTACCTCCCCGTATTACGATGCAAATAAAGCATCAGGACTGAAGTGTTTTAATTTAATTCATCGGAATAAAAATTTGCTTCTGGATTGAAACAGCTTGCAAGCGACCTAAATAACGATGGATTAAATAAAGTACTCTACTAAATCAGATTAGCTTAATGGCTATTTATAAACTCCTGCCTTAGTATTTTGTTTAATTGACTACTTGCAGGATTGACGGTCACTTTGGTATCAGTTCTGGTCTTTTGCGTGTAGGCTGGCCGATAGGTTGAGCAAAATCCCATTCGTTCCCTCTTCTTTTTCTTCTTTTCTTCTTCTTCTTCTTCTTCAGTACACGCATTCGGTCCCACTTAATGCCTCCTTACACCTGATGGGGAGTATCAAGACGTTATAATAACATTATTTCGCCAGAGCGTCATTTAATGCTGATGAATACAGCTTAGCTTTTAGACAACATCAACGTTTTAAAAAGGAGTGGAACAGCCGACAGGTTTCTTCAATGAGTCATGATTCATGCCAACAATTTTTTTAATTTTTACGGTTTTTTGTTGTCATAAAATGCTATTAAGTCATTGGGAGTACGCGCAACTTCAGCTCTCATAATAAGCCTGATGTGGCAATGCAAATTCGAAATGCGGGAATTCTAACGCTATTTTGACCACCAGCATGCATTGTGAGGTGTGTAAAATGAAGCTTTGTAGGGACTAATGCTTTGTGAGTACAAAACACAGCAGATGAAATATGTGTTTTTATACGTCCTATTCTTTGCCATGCTCCCAAATGTGCTTTGGTCTGTTTAAATTTGCTTCAAAATGCACACGCTTTTGCCCTCATTCCTCTAACCTACCAATGCATAGGTGCACATGGATGACGGAATAAAGGAACAATTGGTGAATGCAGGTGACTCCGACTTAAATGTTTACGAAAAAGCTAAAAGCTTTAGCTGATGCACTAGAATGACATTGGTGAGTTCATGGATTGCATGTTGCAGACCCGAGTCCGTCTGCGCATATGCATTCCTCTGTATTTACTTATCTGCGCAGTAAATCAACGCAATTTTAATCATAAACCCGGAAGTCGAGACATCTTGGTGGCACAAGTCCTAAAGTACTCCACTACGTAGTTGCATAATTTGTGGCTTTCATTTGCATAAACGTGGCAATTTTTATTTAGAATTGTGGAATTCTCAAATAATAAACAATGGGTTCTACAAACCATATCTATAACTAAACTATAGTCAGTTTTAGCTTCAGCGAATCACAGCCATTTCCAACATCTGCTATCCCTAAGTGAACTGAACTACCTCTTTCGAGCTACTGCATCCTTAAAACTAAGCTGGCCGGACCCTTTTGGTATTCAAACTAACAGAAAGCATCTTCATTTTCCTTCTAAGGTACGTATTTACATTAAATTGCTGCACTCCTAGCCTACACTACTTTCGTCTAATTAACGCCAATCGGACAAAGTCGAAGCTTACCAGATAAGTCATGTTTCAACACGGAGAATGGAAAAAATTCGAGACCAGCATAACTGAAGTTGTGTTTCCACACGTAATATGCGAGACTTTGGCTAGAGGAAAACTGCAAGTTTATCAAAGACCAGTGATGCACGTAAAAGGCCAAAGTATATTCGCAGGCTTATAAATCTAGTAGCATCATCTATGAGTAGACAGTGCTAAGGGAAGACATCTGCAATGAGCAAGACTGGTTAATGAAGAGGGTAGAAATGAGGACACTTAGCAGCACTTCAAACTATCAAACTGCAGCTGAACGAGATGGTAAAAACGTCAGTGCTCGCCGAGTCAAGAAGTCTGCAGCCCTAACCTCTGATGAGTCAGTGCTTTTAATGAGGCAGACTGTGATCTGAATCTAGTCAAGAATGGAAGTCAGTACTCAGCTGTTCGCCGCCCCTGTACTTCATTTTTCATGGACATGCATTACTCAAATAATGGCGTAAAGTTAATAAGGGAGCTAATTCAACGAAATTCGATAATTCGTTGTATTTAATGACTCTCAAAACAACATCTAAATAAGGAAGAAGAGGCTTAAGAGTTGGGGACACGATGCGATACTTTAGACACGGAATTATCAATAAATCCAGTCACAATGTAAAGAATTGAACTACATATATGCAGGTAGCAAAAAGTGCACACACACGTATGCTAATTTACACATTTTTTTGACAGGCTCTCATTGTAACAGAAGAAAAGACATCGATAAAGACAAGAGATCAATGTACAGATGGAGAGTGAGTTTCCCATTCATATTAGTGGTTTTTTCGGCTTGTTGGGAGTGCCGACCCGAGTTTCATTGGAGGTGTCTAACAAGGGCTTCCTAACAACTATGCTGTTTGTGCCTGTCTTCCGCTGGTCCTAAAAACGCATAATGGACTTGTTGCATTACTCTACTTAAATAGCTGGAGGTAGAGTGGGCATTTTCGAAGTTACATTTTTGGGGGGATTGTTCCCGTCGCTCAGGGGTACGTTTGCAGGCGTAGGGCGGGGTGTGAGGCCGTTGGTCTTGACGACTATAGATGCGCAAGCAGCGTCTTCACCATCACTCTTGCTCTGAGGTGTAGAGGCTCTAACAGTGCCGTAGGCTGGCGGCTGAGGCAGTAGCGGAGGGGGATTCTGGAGAGGAGGAGCAGTCAGTGTAGTGGCCGAACTACAAAAGGAGTTATGTCGAGACCCCGATGCCGTTGGAGACTTTTTCAAGGACGATGGCTTCTGCAATCCTCGAGGTTCCACTAACACAAAAGCACTCGAAGCTGGAGGACCATTTTGTTGCTCCCAGTTCGTATTACCTACACCAAAAGAGAGTATAAATAAAGTACCAACAACGGAGAATTAAGTTAATAAATTGACAATTTCGCATAAATTAAAAATGCGTCTTGATGATACCATAGAGCAGAAAAGGTTTGAGGTTTATAACGTGTGACATTTTTTTCGCTCATGCTGTCAAAAAATGAAAGCACTTTACTCCAAAACCGACTGTTTAGCTAATATGATTTATTGGTGACAAAATAATTAAAAACCAAAGACTGCAAGCAAAATATCATGGAGTTCTGAAATGGTAAGCAGTGGAAAGGATGTACGGTCATGCGATGATACCGTAAATTGTCATGCAAAAACAAAGCTCAAAATAAAACAAAGCCCCGGGAGATCATGCAAAGTAAAGTAGAAGGCAATACCCAAATTAAGGACTGGACTGGTGCAGGCTTCTCCACTACCCATGGAGTGGAGAAGCGGAATGTAGGCCGAATGCGGCCTTTGAGGTGTCGCCTTTGACAGGGACGTGGTATCTGCTGCGAGTGAGTTTCTCCGTTTGTCCAGATGAATGGAGCAGCGGAGTTCAGAGTTGCTGGAATAGGCGTGCACAGCCTTACGGTAGAGCAATGCTCGCGGGTTCTGAGGGTCAATTGCAGTAACAGCAGGGATTTTGGTGGCAGCATTCGTGGTTGATGAAGGAATCAGAGGCAGAAGAAAAAGAGTTGACTCCACCCAGTAGGGCCGTGATTGAATGACAGGTGGAGTTGAGTGTCGTGGGGGCATACTCTGGACGGAGTTGAGCAAGGACGCAGATCGCACCGATCCATTTGAACTGGCTTGCAGTGGGATCGCCTGGTTGAGCATATTTGCCTTCGATGGGCCAAAATGGCTTAAACGAGGATTTCTGGGTTGCAGCCGGTCTAGTTTCAGGAGTAGGGGCCGAGTAAAGACAACGAGGCATGCAGAACGAAACAGTCAAAACTCGGGAAAAAGACATGCTATAGGAAATAATAAGTTGGATGGTGAGTCCGAATGGTGGATCAAAATGTGGCTTTTTGGGTTACCCTACACTATTGGGTTGATGGTGACAAGTTTAGTTTTCCTTATAACTTAGAGCAACGACTTCTCGTTCTAGCCACACCTTTTCATGCATAGAAAAGAGCACTCTCTTTGTAAGGAGGCGATTAAGTAAGTAAATATGGCATGCAAAAGACATTACTCAGTATCATAAACATGAATCTCAGGTAAGTAACATAAAGGAAACTGAAATCCTCAACGAAGATGAGTACTTTATTCTTGGACAATATCTTAAGCAAATTGATTTCCTAACCCATTTCAGAAGACCCGATAGACTTTATCCAGTGCCATCAGATCTTTTTGACGAGTGCGTTCCACTAAAAGCGCCTGATAAGCAATCCAAACATATACCCAGAATAAAAAACTTGTGAATGCCAATTGGCAAGAAAAGATAGCAGCATTAAACAATGAACTAAAGATGTGCGTATGCATGTGGCCATGCAAGAAGTGTGGCACAAGACGCCGTGTCCATATTACTCATTTGCGAGGTTGGGGATTCTCACCGATGGCGGAAAGATTTCCTACGCTGGTTCCATTAGGATGGTAGAAAATAGGTGTGAGTGCCTCAGAGGTAAGAACCTGCTGAGGGTGGATGATCTGCGAGCGCCTGACACACGCCGCTGATTGTGGATATACGTAGAGAAGGGGTTGCGACGGCTGCGCCGGTGCTGGCTGCGCCTGTCGCTGTCCACCACTCTGGACCGAGAAATGGTCAGAGCCAGAGCCCAATGAGATGCGGTCCGAAGTCATGGTGTTGGAGGAACCGGGGCGCTGCTGTTGTGTTAGTGGCTGCTGCTGAGGATTGTGGAGGTGAGCTAGGGGATGACCGTGAGGCGGAGGACCAGAACCTGCCGCAAGATGCTGGGATATCATGGACGTGGCGTGGTGAGGCACCCCACAATCTACGTAACTTCGGCGTGTCAGCGTCGAGGAGGATGGCATGCAGCCTGCGGTCGTGCTGCTAGCACCACCACCTAGACGTGTAGACATTACAGGCAACGTATACCCAGGTTATATTGACATAAACTGTTTCCTAAGTCGAGAAAAGCCTCATATTCAAGCATTGCAAGGACTATTTGACGACTTATACAGGGGAAGTAGTTGCCAAGCTATATAACTATTGTGCGATTTCAATCCTACTCATGAGGTAGTCAATCAGACCACCGTTAATGGTAGTCCTTCGCCTTACTTGTAATTCAGCCGCACTAGCGTGCATCACTTTGAAAATCATTCGGTTACTGTTGGAAGAGAAACGGAGAATAAAGCTCAAGCTTTACGCACCAAGATAGACCATTTGAAGGGAATCGCCCGCGACCATGCTCCCTCCCACGACACTGTTGGGTCTTAAGACAACAAGACGACCATTCTCGTCCACAATGTAGGACGATTGTCTGCGGAAATCCGGAGTGAGAACTTGCCGTCCGGGTCCCAAAATTACCGACCCCCTGAGACCCGCTCTCGTCGGCGAATAAGTGACTGAGCCGTTGCCACCATCAGGTAGCATGCGAGTCGACTCGAGTAGCTTTACTTGCTGCTGCTGCAACAGACCCGAGGCCATCTTGTCACAGCCAGGAAAGAAAGACGAGTTCGAATGACCAATGTTGTGTGCATCGAAGAAACGGGTGGACGAGTTACGACGGAAGCAGCATTTCAGTATGACAGCAGTGATGACGGCGAACAGAAAAATCAGTGCAAATATGCCTGCAATTATATAGCCGTGCATTGGAGTTAGACCCAAAGCGTTCGAATCTGACTTCAGTGGAGCGAGATTCTAAAGTAATAATAAAGACACAAATCAAAGCTTGGATACAGAATCTAAATTCCTGTTTTATAAATGATGAACCCTAAAAGGCCTGAAAGTTGAAGAGAAACATTTACCCGTAGTGAGTATTGTTCGCAAAGCTATTGCCAAGTAAAGGGGTGATTATTTAAGCCAGACGGAGAAGTAAATGTGAAACACCAAAGGAATAACGAATAATTGAGGAAATCACGGGTGCACCAGACCAACGAAATAATGAGGGCTTATTTGTTGCAGAAGTGAGGAATATAGAAGAATGCTAAAAGTCCGCGGTCTCAGTCTGATCATGTAATTACAAGCCAAATTGTGACACAGCTCCAAATGACGCATTTTTTCATTACTTTGACCTCCAAATAGGGTGACATGGCTTGTGCGCATTCCACTTATACTGCCAAAGTCCGACGATAAAATTAAACACACTAATGGCAGAAGTATTGTCACACAATGCAAACGCCTAGTTGCTTAAGAAGTTTACAGTAAACCTATCTTTTACGCAATAAAAGCACAAAACGACCGCTGGATCACAAATTGGCCCCATCAAAGATGCTTTGGCTGAGGATAGAGCTATTGATAATAAAATTAAAGTGATTTGTGTGTTCTGAGAGAAGAATAGAATTATTTGCTTCTAGAAGCAGTAACACCAACGAGCGAGGAGCAGAAATACAAGTGCACAAAAACGCACGCGAATCTGACAGTTTCTTCCAGTATATCCGAGGCTACAATTGCAGTAATAGGAGCCGGGAAGGTTAATACAAACACCGCGGCGTGAGCCATAGGGATTGCAGAGAGGATCAATGGTAGCACCAGATGCGTCAGCGTTCTGACCATAGTCATAGGTGCTATCACTATCGGCACTGGCGGCTGCGAAAGCTGTAGAGGCAAGACTGCATTCATCTACGTCGTGTTCGCATCGTCCTCCACGCCAGCCAAATGAGCAGTTACAAATGGGACCACCAGGGCTATCGATGCAAGCGCTGCCATGGTAGCACACCGGTGTTGGCGACCTCGTTGCCGCTAGCAGGGCCTCAGCGCGCACACACGCGCTGCTAGTATTGGCTCCCATAGACCTACCGGTTGGAGTCTCGCAATTAACGCCTCCAAAGCCTGGTTGACAGATGCACCGATAGGAAGTCGATTTGCCGCTTGCTGGCTCACAGCTAAACCACACAATGTCATAAACAACAACAATGAGAAGGTAGCTCGAAAACAAACACTTGCACACAAGGATCGGCTACTTATCTTTCTAAAGATATTGGCTGTGGCACAGAAATTACAATTTTCATAAAAAATCAAAGTTGTCGCCATAACATATCCTCACTTATGTAGTGCGCGGGATGCGAAACAATAAACTTTCTCCAGCACATATATTAGCTTTATTGAAATTACTATTATCTAATAAAGGCGACGTATTATAGAGCTAGTAAATGGAAAGTCATTTCATGGGTGAGTATAGAGAACAACTTACCTAGTCATTGGAAAGTGTAGGAAAATCTTCCTACACACTTGACAGGTTCAATTTCATTGGTAAGTAATAAGAGAACTAGGGTAAGCAGTATCAAAGACAACTATAATACCGTCACTATTAGGACTCTGGTTCCTTGGCTAAATAGATGGCCAATCTATCTGCCCACCGATATCAAGTTAACGTGCGACTTTGGTAGAGTTGAAAGAACTATAAATAAAAATACACCGAAATATTTTGTTTTAATGTATAATGACAATGACTAACATCTAACCAATTCACCACATTTAACATCATAACACAAGAAGATCGAGGACAAACCTTCCACCGTTGAAACAAGGTTGGAGGAGGCAGGAGTCAGTCACCTCCTCACAAAGTGAGCCAATGAAGCCGGACTGGCAAGAGCAGTTGAAGTCGGAGGGACTGACAGCCTCAGGGCCTCTACCAATTTGAGAGAAGGCAAGAGCACGTCGAGAGAGACACACACCTGCGTTAAGACAGGGTGCATAGGCACAGGAGCTCTCGTAAGTTGCTTGTGCTGAACAGTAGTACTCCAGATTACGAGTTCGAATCACCTGTAGCACTGGCAGACTAGTGATTCCCTGCTCCTCCTCTCCAGAGACACCTATGGGCAACTTATGGTGCCGTAGAGCTGAGAGTACGGCCTGCTGGGAAGTAAAGCCTGCTTGGTAAGGTGGCTTAACGCGATCGATGAGAATGTCGCTTATGCAGCCTATTTATTAAAGAAACATACTGGATTACTTTGTAATTGCATTTTATTAGGTTGAATCCAACACAGATAAACAACTCACCCACAAATCCGGAGCGCAAAATGGGAGGAGGAGCAGAGTAATTAAATTGTGGCCATTCGGGATCCTGAGGCTCCTTAGATGCTGCTGCCATCCAGTCCTTTGGATAAAAGATCTCAGCAAAGGGTCGAAATCCATGAACTAATTCGGCACCGAGCAGGATGTCCTGCCTTTTCGTATCACCAGGAGCCCAATCAATGGCTTTAGAATGGACGTGCATGCCGTCAATTGTTAGCTGAACCCACCACCTAAGGTCTGTTACGAAAGAAGTCGCAAATAAATCCAGTGCGCAATGAATGCAAACTGTACAGGGTGAGTAAATCAGCTTACCGGACGAATCGGTGGTACTAGCAAAGAGAACAAACCGCACGCGGTGCCATTGACCATCGCTTAACTCCGGTTGGCCGGAGATAAGCCAATTACTGATGGGCACCCCTTTGGCAAAGTCGACCGGCGAGATGGCCAAATTGCCGTTATTAATGAGGTGAATGCGTAGGGCGCGCAGTGAACTCCAACCAACAGAAAACAGAGGCCCACTCTGCTGGCGAGTACGAATGGAGAAGGCGATTTCGATTCTATATTCGTTTGGATTCCCCACTTGCCAATGGGCAAAACTCCCTCCAGTGAACTGTAAGGGTCCTTTTTCTGATAAAAAAAACTGCTGTTACATATTTCGCATCTTTACTGATGATGAAGAGCTGCATCTATTACGTCCGCAAAATTATGTATTTCACATATATTAGTGCTTTCGAAATGCCAAATGGAATTCAGTCATTTTATGGGAATTCCCCCGAGATCTCTAGTTGACAGATCATGTAAATGGAATTGCAGCACTAGTTTAAAGCATAGTTTAAGAGTTAAAAAATGAATCAAATTGTTTTGTAGTACGTGAGACTACCATTGATGAAAAAATGAAACCTTGATTCATGTTACTCAAGTTCTTATTTTTTGGTCGTTTTACCTTGACTCCAAATTTTCCTTATGACAGCATTTCATTCAAACCAAAAAGTCCAATTACTGTCTAGTGCTGCGAGTGCGCCGCTAATGGCACGTCCTAATTAAGTCAAACTATCCAGGGAGAAGGTAAATTTGTACTATCCCATTGATATTGCATCAGTTCAACCGCAATTCTGCGAATCTTGGCTTGACATCAATATCAAAACCCTAGTTACGAACCTAGAGTCCAGTTACCAAGGCAACAACAGTAATCCCAGTTACTGAAATACAGAATTTCCTATTTGTCTAAGCAACCACCCCCAATTATAAGACAGAGATTTAGCTTCTCTGACTATGGGACACTAAATTGATCGGAGTAGGATGCTAACTCAAATTAATTGAGATATCATATCGTCGATTTGACGTATTATATAATTAGGGATTTGAAGAAATAAAGGGGGAGAAGACTTACCCCTTTTTATAAAACAGGCTTCGGAAAAGCAGGCCTCAGAGGAAGAGTCGGAGGGAAGTCGGAGAAGACGATCGCAGTTGGGACCGGTCCAGGGGAGGGGACAGAGACAGGCATGGTGTGTGCGTGGAGAGTGAGGTGAGGGCACACAGATGCGTGGTGCTACGCAAGCGCTGGTAGCGCAGACGTCGCGTGGTCGATCACAGTACAAGCCTCCGAAATTAGTCGCACACCGACACCGCGCCACTAGAGAGAACCGTGGACTCATCCGACTCGCTCCATGTATCTCCAATATATTCGACGCCTCCGTCTCTACTTCCAATATCACCCGCGTCACACAACTTCCAGAGTCGCATTTCTGTCAAGAGAAAAAAAAACAAGTGTCTGCCTTCTCCACGTAAATATCCTCATGGGATAACACAGATAAAAGGTGTGATGTAGTTCACACAACAATCAAGACTTGAATTATCAGTACATGACAATTTAATATCTCACGCAGATAGCATAAAGATGGGTCATTTGGGCAGGATCCGTGTCCTTTAGATTACGTAGTAAAGAAGGAAAAAGAAGCTAGGATGTTCTGTGCACCTATTTACAGATGGGATGAGTTGATAAGGTCCGTCCGTCATGGAAATGCATTTGTATGAGTGCTAGCGATTTACCCATTAACTGTCAGTAACCTAGCTTCCATCGCGTGCAGACTGCCTAAAGAGGACTACCAACAATGGACGGAATAAATACGCACCAAATTGTCCAGAGAGTTTTACAATGTATTTCACTTAAAATATGCGCGAACTATTATCAGGAGTGAAAATACTAATCCCCTCTCCTACTCCAATCTCATTGTGATTCCAGGTGCCAGACCCAAAGGTCAAATCAAAAATGGAACGAAGTTTCAAGCATTCTAAACTTATGAACAAGGGCTACATTTCAAACAAAATATTTCCATATTGTGATTAACAAAAACCATAAAAGTATGATTTAGGAAGGCCGCAAAAAAGTAGGAAACACTTAAACGATATGTACTGTTGTGTGTACTGAAATGTGGAATAATAATATTAGCATTAATATCGTTAAAGATAAACCAAAAGTAGTGATTTCGTAGGTACGTTAGGGTGCATAGAATGGAGATTCAATAAGCCTACTTTCTGTGCGCACAGGCTATTGTAGGCATGAATCTGATGGCCAGTAGTTCTGGAGAGGTTCCCTTGTAAGCCATGAATCCGCTGAACCAAATGGTTCGACTCGATAAATCGCCTTTCGCGAGGATTGTAGACAGCTATCAGAAGGTCCACTCCACCACTGATACTCCTCTTTCCCCCACGCAGAAAGCTGGTAGAGGGCTGGACGGAGATAATAAAAACGTTGTCGGATGGGTCAGCACCACTAGTGATGGAAAAACTGAGAATCGCCTGAGACAACTCCCGCTGGATCGTCTGGTCGAGGTGAAGAAGAAACAGCTCGTTTGGGGAGAGGTCGGCAACGTGGAGTACACAGGCAGATTCCAACATCTCTTCCGTCACGGTTATAACCTACGAGAGAATCGAAAAATTCCCGATTTATAAAGCAGAAATCAGAGCTCTGAAAACTAGGGAGTAAAAGAGACTCCATTAAGGACGATTTATTCGTAGTCTATCATGCAGCGGTTATATTTCCAAATAGAGCTGAACTGTAATGTTGGGGAAAAAGGCGAGTTTATAAATTTGCATAAAAGCTCAACCACCTATTCATTCAAGTGAGCAACTTAATCTATTAACTCGACCAAACGGAACATTAACTAATATGCATAATTCAATAAAATGTGTGCAAAAATTTTTCATAAAGTTGGCTTTAATTATTTCAGCTCTTAATTTGTAAGAGGCAAATTGCAAAATTTAAAACAGCCTCCGAACCTATTTTCAAATTGAAGTGAAACTCTTTTCCTTCAAACATGCCGCCAAGACTTAAGATGAATTTGCGTTTTTGTCAACATTGGCTGCAGATTCTCAATTAAGACCGTGGTTTTTTACCAACGAAACAACTACCAGTTGGTATTTCAAGCAAATTCAATAATGCTATCAAAAACCTCGACCTATCATTCTTTAGTCGCGTGGAAACCATAGGGAGCCGCCATTAAAATAAAGGATTTCATCAATTTGAGTACGTGATACAATAATAAATCATGCTATGTGCGCGTGCACTGGAAGCGATCGTTTGCCCTGTATTCTCTTCCCCATCAAAAAAGTGTGCGAACTGCGGTGCAGTGGATAGCATGACAATATGCCTCAGTCGATTTAGCAAAAGGTAACCCTTCTACCCTCCCCTATTCTTCCATCAGCGATGATGGATCCCCACTTACCAAATTCTCTTTTACTTAGTAATCTAAATCAACTGTTTGAGTGAATATAGCTCCAGATGGCAAAAAGCAATTATAAGAAGGGGTGAAAGATCTGTACTAAACTCACCTTCAAGAACATGGTATTATTGGAACTTAGTGAACCATTCGTGACTCTGACTTGGAGACGATAGTCGCCAGAGTTGAGCTGAGTTATGGGTGATAGTTTTGGTAGCACAGGTTCAAGCCAAACAAGGGACGGATCTTGCCGAGGTGCAGAAAGGGCGGTGGATTTGGTCGACTTTGATGTGGTAGACTTCACGTGTATGCTCCCATCGTAGCGGTCTATATCAAAATGAGTAGTCAAGGGTTCAGTGATGAGTTCGAAGAAGAGTTGATCGTAAGAGGTGCGGTCGCGAACAACCACTCGCATTAGCGGAGGATCCTGCGCCTTCGGCAACTTCGTCGTTGCCATAGCGATGTCAAGATCGAAGCGATTTTTCACCGAGGGAATGGATGTCCCAGAGCTGTCCCGAAAAATCACGAGAGTAGTGTTTGAACTGACGATTTCAGGAGGTAGGTTGGATTGACGCGAAACATGAACCGTAATTGTTACTGACGAGTGAAGCGCAGTCATTCCACTGTCATGGGCTCGGACCACCAGGCTTTTACTTCCCAACTGTATAAGAACAATTAAAGTTGATGTTACACTTTAAACTAAAGCGCGAAAAATAAACTGGTCGTATGACACATCAAAAATTTTCAATCAGTCCGTATGAAAACCGTTTGGCAGTTTCCGTAGTTTAAAAATGACAAAAGGTAAATAAGAAGTGCCTCAAATACACACAAAGGGTAACAACAAAACCTAGCTGTTATTTTGACCTGTTGAGTCGATTTGGAAACTATTCAAAATGGCACGTCATAAAATTTCATTTCGACGTTAGAACAACAGAACAATACATTTCTTAACCAAAAAAGACAAACTAAATTGAAAAATATAGTCCAAATTTCACTGAAATAAATGGCTTTAATTCTAGGGAAATCATCAGACAATACGCGTATTGGTAATGAAATGAAAAATAAGAGGGGTCAGCTAACTGGGAGTGTTGGGATGGCGTAGAGAGAGCAAAATCCTGTTTGGTTTGTCTCAAGGCCCTGGAAGAATGAGGAATCAACTGGAGAGATGGAGACAGTGGTATTAGTAGGGAAGGTAGAGTGGGCGCGAACTGAGAAAAGGGGTGTGGAGTTGTCCCACATCATCGAAGTCGAGGTCGCAGGACTCGTGAGTTTGCACTTGAAGGGGCCCGCGTTCGGAACTGTATCCCAATCCCGCACTGCCATATGCCCTAAAAGAATTTCCGCGCCTTCTGCGTACGATGCATCGTTCAGACTCTGCAGGCACCAAAAGAGGGCACGCATCTCAATTTGAAGTGTGGAAACTCCTCCGATCACAGAAATTTAGATAATATGTAATCTCATATATATATATATTGGATCCTGAATGGCTTCATCAACGTCCTCATGAGGGTTATCCAAGATGCAATAAAATCAAGCGAAAAGTACTTATTGATTGGAATACTCATCATGACAGAGTGGAGGACTTGACATTACTCATGTCACCAACTGAAACTATTCAGTGTGCTAAAGAATTATTTTAGGCAAATGTTCGTATTTTTAGTGAGAAAGAAGTGTGATATGAAATAGACTCCATGACAAAAAAAGTACGACGTCGGCTAAAATGTTTGGTCAGCAGATGAGAAGTTGTAACGAGAGAAGTCAAAAAACACCTCCAATATTAACTGCGTTGCCTTTACATCGATGCAACAACAATGTAGGTAGTTCTACAGTCTCATCCTCACACCAGCATTGCTACAGAATTGAGATTAATTTACTTCTCGACCCATGTAGACAAAAGGTCTCGCAGAAGGCCACAGGCATATCAGTCGGTTATTTTGCTGAGATAACCAATTAAAAAACTCGATGAGATTACTGCCAAAATTTAAAGCATAAAGGGAACGCAAACTTACCCCTGACTGACTGGTCGATACAACATTTCCATTTCGATCCACCTGCGTAGACGGAAAGAAATTAGACAACTATGTTAGCATGATCAATCAGTTTGAATGCCAGAGGTAAGCGAAAAACAAATATAAGTGAGTTAATGCGAAACCCTATGTGAAAGGAAAGTGATCAGTGATGTTTAAATTTTAGACAAGATTAATCTCAGTGATTTTAAGATTTAAAAGTGTGGATTGGTGGGTTATACACCGCCTTGACACCCGTCAATCATTTGAAGGCAAATCCAGCTGAAAAGTTAATGATATTAAGTCTTCGGCAAGATTTATGCTCAACTTCGAGTTCCGTTTCCTACTCGAGAGAACTTGTACCCTTCGTTAAAGTAAACGCCTCCTAGAGAAGTAAGTGATTTTAGGCAGAACAAAATTACATAAAATAAATTAATTAGTCCCAATTGGTGCTTTTGTAAACGAAGAAACAGTAGTATACCACATTTTGTAAAAATGCAGTGAAGTAATTTGCGAACGCTGGTGGCATCTTTGAGAAACGAGGAGGCCAAGTAAGCTAATTTCGTTTCTCAAAACTGAATACAATTGCACTTCTAAAATAACAATTTTCTGAGAGAAGTTAATCGTGTCACGGAATAACTTAGTGATACCTTGATCACCGGTAGAAACTCGAGCGTGATTGTGAAAGGAACGTAAATCACTTTGAGCGGTGAATAATCGTACCTGTACATAGAATTCATAATTAGTGCGCTCAAATTGAGGCTGGCAGTCATTGGTGTCACGAATGGAGACAATGACGCGGGTGACAGCCGAAAGGACAGGCTGACCGTGATCAGAGACACAAACAGAGAAGCTGTAGAGAGAGGCCTCCTCGCGATCAGGACTGAAGAGTAGAGAGATCTCGCCTCTCTCTTCGCCCACTTCGAAGAGGCTCCCGACCACTGGCTTATATGGAACAGTTTTGATGGGCTCGGCGCTGGCATCTCGTAATTTCAGCGATACTAGTGTCTCGGGCGGCCGAGTGGGTTCGCACAGAGAAAATGCAAGACGGCCGTTTTCGCCCGAGTCCGGGTCGCCTGCCGTTATCTTCAATTCATGTGATTGCAAAGTACAAGATATTGAACATATCACTTCATTAATGGTACCAAAGGTTTCCTTTTTCAAAAAGTATCTCTGAAACCATGTTGATTTAGGGGGCAGGAGCAGATTCATCCGTGGGAGGTCTCTAAGGCTAGCTATCGTGTCGTGATGACGGAAAGCATTCACAAATGAATCAAGTAAAGGAGGGAGAGCCAGCGAGGTAGAGTTGTTACAAATTAAGTTTACAGTTATTCGCTTTTGCATCCTTTGAGAAATAGCCAAAATATTAACAACTATTTATTTATCATAAACTGCAAACCTAACAAACTGTACGTTTCGATACTAAATAAGTCACATGATTGGGATGAAGTTATTCAAATGGTAATTTCACGCAAGTACACCAGCCTACGTGGTGGTTGCTTGCAAGCTTCAGCTACTCCTACCAGCAATGGATTTGGAGAGGGCTTAGGCTAATTTGCTGACTTGGAAATGAGAGACTATGTTGTTCCAGCAACATGAATTACCGCTTGTGTGGGAATCAGAACGTGTGTGCGATGTAGGAAAAATAAAGTAAAATACATCCACAACCCCACACAAGGCCTAAGTTGAGGAAATTAAGCATAGAGAAAAGCGCGTACTGCCAAGTTGCGACCACGAAAACGATTAAAATCATTCTAAATTTCATGATCCCACAGAGTTTATGGAATCCTTTCTTGAAAGTCACTAATCGTTCATCAAGTTTGTAGCACACCATTTAACGCTGATCTTAGGCTCTCATCATCTTAAAATCTGATGGAGATGATCATCCTGATGCAATTAAATGGCTGTTTTGTGAAAAAAATGAAATTCTGATATTCGCCGTCACAAGAAACTGCTTCAGGAACATAAGAGGTAAAAAAAGTAAAGGTAAAAAGGCAAAAAGAAGTGAAAAAAAAATTTTGGATACCTCTCATATTAGGTCACAGTAGTGGTGACATGAAACCAAACTCAGAAAAGATGAAATCAGTAATATAAGGCCAGCATAGGATTTACGACCGAAAGGCTACGACCAAATCGTCGATGGAACTACTTTTAATGTGGTCCTGTAATAAGTATTTTGCTATTCTTATTCGCGAAAACTTCATTTATCAAGTTTCGCCTATGGATCAATTTAACACTGGAACAACTCAGAAGTATTTAATTTTGCAAACCTCACAGTTGAAAGCTATTCAGCGGTCAGCACCAAGGTCCTCAAAAAAGGAAACATTGATGAGTGTGAGTATTACCCGTTTGTGTGTTTACATGAATGCATAACGATGTTATGGGCAAAAAAATGCTTTCAGCTGGAATGGAAAGAAAATTTGCCGAATACTATCTGAATGCATTATGCAAACTAATAACCCGACAAATCTCAATATCCATTTGTGCAAATGCGGTTCACTGCATAACAAACGAAACTGTAGAAATTCTTAATTAAAATCGAACTGACAACACCTACAAAGAAATTAAGAAAACTAACTCTAACAGAAAGCATATCTAGCATATACAGCAACAACCAATATTAAAGATTAATATAGATGAGTAAATCAGAGGCCGGTAACTGGCACCGTTTGTAAAAACGGAGTCGCAGTGAAAATCGGACCATCCAAATAATCATTTTATAGTAATCGTGTTGTTTGAAAAGTACCTTAACAACAGCATCGGAATTAAACACTGATTGACAATTTTTAAAGTCTAAGTTCATCACAGCCTGTTCAAGTAAGCAGTAAAGGGAAACCGTTCTGAAACTTAATTAAATTCAAAAGGAACACCCAAACAAAGCAAAGAATAGAAAAGGGTGGAGTGCTAGGAAAAAAGTTACTTACACGCCCAATCCGTGTTCCAACAGGGCTATTCTCATAGACCTCGAAGGAGAAGACACCGACAGTAGGGTCCTGCGTGGAAGTTAGAGTATCATCTGATAATAATGGCGATGGATCTTGTCCAATGAAGTAAGGTGGGTTGTCGTTGACGTCAATCACATTAACGGTCGCAACGGTTGTGACACTGAGTGGAGGTGTGCCTCCGTCCCTCGCCTCGATCGTCAAAAAGTAGCGCGGCGTGTGTTCGTAGTCCAGGGAGCTTGTCAAGTAGAGCTCTCCTAAAGAGCAATGCCTTTACATTATGTTGTGTGCTGTAGCAATAATATCTTTCCTTCCGGACAAAAAAATGCCCGATCCGAATGAAAAACTGAGTCTAAAGGCATGGTTGAATGGTAATTTATTCAGTAATTGCACACGAGTTTGCCAAAGCTGCCAGTGCACCTTTAGTAGCAACTTTAAAGTAGAATTAAATGGAGCATTTTTAATACTGAAGTGATTTGAGTTAGTTAGAGGAGATTAATTTACTTTAAGGCAGCAGAGAGCAATAATAATGCAACTTCAAATCTTTTTCAAATTAATTCACAACAATAATAATGTGGGTTAAATCCCTTCTGATATGAAATCGTAAAGAAGGTAAACTTGAGGTGTTAAAAACCAGGACCTTTACTTCGCTGAATGTGGGAATAAACCGGTGAAGAGTCTGAAAATTGTTTCATGGGCTACACGACTTCCTAAACAGGCACACAAGAATCAGTTATAAGTTGTCTGTTGAAACTTTATTACAACAGTTTCAATTAGCAATCCTCAGAATGGCAAGGATACCACTGATAAGAGCATCAATTTTATTTGTCCCACCTCACTGGTCACTCAAAACAAGGCCTGGCTTATAGGTGAAATCGTCTTCAGTGTTCACGTTATGCCCCACGAATTTCCAGACGAACAACTAGTCACCGACGGAACATGCGCCAAATGAAAATCCAGTAAGATTCTCGATGCAAATCAAAGTGCTAGACTCCAACGTTCCACCAATGATAAAAGATAGTCGATGTGAAAATGTGAATTTGTGTTTTTTTAACGATGGACGACACAGTGGAGAATCAGAGGAAAAGGAAGTGAGATGAATTCAAGCAAAACAGAGAGTAAATTATTCACAAGCAGTCCGTCCCATTTAGGACGCGGATTTCAGTTAAAAGTAAGAATTGGATAGACACAAATATCCACCTTTTCGGTTTTGAATTTGCCTCAGATTCATAACATGTGAGTTCCAGCACATGTTGGCACTTATCAAACACCATTTTGAACGGAATCTCGTTAATATTTTAAAATATGACTTGCCACCTCGGTTTCGGCAGGTATTTTGGAATATTGTATGAAGTCGGCTTAGCAATAATAAAAAAGGTGGTTTTCAAGTGCTTATTAGGCTATGTGAAGCCATGATAAAAGACAATGTAATGAAAAGCCAGCCTTCGAAGTGATGCCTTTTGAGGGTATTGAAGGGTTCTATCGAAAGTGAACATACTTGACACTCAATTTCTACAGCATTAAAAAGTAAATTTTGCATTGAAAAATCCTCTGAAAATAAATGAAGGTGCAGCCTTTCGCATCGGCACTCCTGACAAGTTTAAAATCATAAAACGAAAAAAAACGGTGATGTGAGACCGATCAAGAAGGTTTAACATTTTGTGGCCGATGCAGTCACAATGTGAAATTCCCACTCTCGGTGAAATGACATAAATTTAGCTTAAAAATATGGTAATAGTGAAATCAAGTCAAAACGCTCGCAGTAATAATCAGAGACAGAGGACCTGACACAAAAGCACACAGAGCAGATAAGATCGCCACAAAACTTTCTAAATTAAAGTCAGAGAAACGGTAACTACAAACAACATAAAATTAAAGGAATTGCTATAGGAGAGGAAGTGATCTTATGTGCCGGATATTCTCTGGTTCACCAAACGTGTGGAATGAGGCGAAAGTCCTGTGTGAGTAAGCGGATAGTTATAAACAATAATTTACCAGTGGTGGCGTTGAGAGTGAATTCAGGAGTATCAGTCTCAAGAAGACGGTAGCGTACGATGGCGTTGTCCCCTTCATCGAGGGAGATGGCAGTGAGGCGCATGACAAGGGCACCAGTAGGACTGACCTCGGAGATACTAGCAGTGGGTCGAGGCTCAAGAAAGTACGGCGGATTGTCATTTACATCCACCAGAGGCACCTCTACGCTCGTCGTAACCGAATGGGCGCGCGACAACCCTCCTCCGTCTGTCACGAGGATCGTAAAACGATGTACTGCAAGACACTCTCGGTCCAGCGGCTGCACAACGCGAAGCAGGCCCGAGTATCTATCCACCGAAAAACTCCCGTTCCTGGGCCACGAAATGCTATATTCCAGCCTGTTTGCGTCCACTACAAGGTAGCCCAGTAAGTCACTACCAATCGCAGTATTGGTAAATTTAGCTCACGCACACAAACTCACGCAACAAAAAGCTTATTTATGATTGGCTCAGGACGATATAATCAGAGCAAGGCAAACAAAAATATCCCAAGATTAAAATTAAAGACTCTGCTTGAATGTTAATTTATTTATACATTTCTAGACCTACAAAAAAGGATCGAGATTGTAGATTGAATATGCGGTGCCTACACTGTAAACTATGCTAAATCTGGAAGATCTTGGCAATAAAGTTGCGTAGATTATTCATCACCATTTATGATCTCAATCCGATTGCCTCAAACAGAAAAGGACCCTACCAGGATCAACGTCGGTGGCGTGGACTTTACCGATCAAACTACCGACAGGCGCATTCTCAGGGACAGAGGCAATTTCAATGGGGAGGTCGAAGATAGGTGAGTTGTCATTGACGTCCAACACCTTGACTTGAAGATTATAGTAGCAGGAATGGTTGCCTCTATCCATAGCTTCGACCCGCAAGGTGTAATCCGTCCTCGTCTCATAATCCAGCTGCAAGGCAAGCGTAATGTTTCCGGTCTTCTCGTCCACCTTGAAGGTATCTGCGTAAGCTCGATCTTCAACCAAGCGGTAGCTGAGGAGAGAGTGCTCTTCAAGCACGTCTGCATCTGTTGCATTGAGCTGAAAGAGCACTGTCCCATTCACTGCCGACTCCAGCACGTACACCACACGATCGGGCTTAAGAGAGCACAAGAAGATTCAAAAGAATTCCTTTAAGAGCAGAAATAATACACCATTCATCAACAAACTCACAAGGTGACAGATAGGTGGATTATCATTGACGTCTTTTACATGGATCGTTAGTGTGAAGGGACGAGAGGTTTCGTGCAACCCATCAAAGGCTTTCACTTCCAATACATGAGTTTGTGTTGATTCAGCATCCAGTGGTCTGCGAATGTAGACCTCACCACTAGAAGTGACGGTAAATTCTTGCACCGATTCGCCGACTTGATAAAATTTCAAAAGAGCAGCGTTGGAGATTGTATCCCTATCCACAACCGAGAAGGTGAAAATGGGATCAACTGGAAGATGGTTTTCGGGAACAAATATTTCAACAGACGGCTGTTCATCAGTGGAATTGTTTATAAGTCTCCATTCCGGCGGAGTGTCGTTTAGGTCAATCACATCGACAGTGAGGTAGGCAACCGATACGTGACGCGATGTATCCACAACCGTGACCTGATAATAAAGAGGGCGTATCAAATAAAATACGCGGTGGCTCCATCCTCGATTGTTGCAAGCGCTTACCGCAAGTTCGTACGATGCCACTGCTTCCCTATCAATCGGTCCTGCTACTGTTATCCACCCGTTAGAATCGATGACGAATGGAAGTGAAGAGAAGTCCGGAATAACAGCTGATTTTCGTCGAATTGAGTAGGAGAGAAGGCCTTCATCTGCGGCGTCGCAATCGCGAGCTATCATTTGGTAAATGCGACGCCCTGGAGGGAGGTTTTCCGGTATGCTAATCTGTGATCTGACGAAAAATAACTTTTCTACTCAGTTGAAAATAAGTAGGTGCATCATTCTATCAAATCAAAGCATACTCTAAATCAGTCTGAAAAATGGGCGCGCAGTCATTCACGTCCTCAACTTTTATGATGACGCGAGTGACTGCAGCTACAGGTACGGAAAGGCTGTAGTTGGTGAGGTCGATGCGGTACTGCACCAGAAGATCATGTGAGGAATGTGCTTCGTAGTCAAGGTCGTGTTTTGCGTGGATTGCGCCTGTAGTTCCATCAATTGTGAAGGCGTTTAGGGAGGCGGCAGGACCCACCAACGACCAGGTTCCGCCCCGATTTTCAGCTTCAGAGTTTACTTTGCACCCAGCGATGGGCTCGTTCAGATCGTAACTAACCTGGAAATTGACGAAGAGTTATTACAATCTAGTGATAATGCATTAACCTAAGAAAAATTTTAATCCAACTCCACTTATGAAAATCTCTACTAGGCGTGAGCAGTCTCAAATGTTATTCATAATGGAGCGAAAATTAAGTAAAACGCTCGAATGAATACGTGGAAACTACGATTCGTCAAAAATTTATTGAAGTTTAATGAACTTCATGTTCAGAAGTCGGTGCACGATTGTAGCACCAAGGAGAGAGCGATACATAAATAGCACATTTGAGGATCGCAGACTGAGAAGGCTTAATAAACAATCAAACCACTTACGAATTACCCCAAATGACATTTAATCGAGACACTATTCAAAGACAGAAAAAGATAAGGATAGTGGGTGAAGGCGGTGCTGGAAGTCTGCTCTGTTGCACATGTTATTCACTAGTCTGGTGGGAATCACTTACAAATAACGGATCTGGATGAAAGAAGAAATGACACTGCACTAAACTAATACTGAGTCCTGGTGTTCTCCCACAAAATGAATGACTTTTGATGAATGTCTTCTAAAGAATACTTGTAATAAACAAAAGAGCTTCTCTTTCACAGTTTTGTGACTGAAAACTTTCTCAAGGTTCCGTTCCGCATATGAAGCACGAAGCGTGAGAGTTGTGAACTACATGCGCCGGCAGCACCATGTTAAAATATATTGAAAGGAAACTCTCAGACTCTCACTTCGGCCACAGAGACCGAGCTGCAGGAGAGATTAAGTCGCCAAGGTAGTTCCCGGGGAATAAGATGAATAGTGACACCGACGGGCTCGGAGCAGAGAGGTTGACCTTCCTCAGGCTGATCGCAGGCTTTCACAAAAAATTGGAAATCCTTGCTAGAGGGCGGTAATGACTGTGTCAAGAGGATCTCGCCGGTCTGTGGATCTATGACGAAGGGAAGGGCGCTAGTACTGACGGACGCAGGGTGGTGAAGACGGTAAACGACACGCGCATTGGCACCAATGCTGTCCGCATCGTATGCACGGATGCGTAGAGGCAGACGCAGGCCTCTCGGACGAACTTGATTAATAGGGGCAGAGTTCGTCCAGGTAATGTCAGTGTATTCGCTCGGGGACAGAGTCACCTGTATACAACGCAGACAGAACTATTGGATCCCTCCAGAACTACAGGCTCATATGCTTTAATTGTTATTCACTTCAAGAAGCTTGGGGCGGGAGAAGTCTAAGTAGAGGGTCAGGTGATAATAATGTTCGAAATCCTTCCCAATTATAGGGGAGGAAGGAGAAGTGAGGACCGAAGAAATTACGATTTGCCGAAAAAATAAAGCATAAAAGTGTCTATGCACAAATAAACAACAATATTTCTTGTAGTCATTCTGAAGAGACTTGGAATTTCCTTGCTAAGATAAAAACTCGTATTTTCTGCGCTATGGTGAAACAGTATGCCTAATAATAAACCCACGTCATTGAAAAGACACACAAAATGCCAAAAAAAATTTGACAATGTTTGGGATCGCCTGTCTACAAAACAGGCTTTTCCAGCCTTATGAAGGGAAAAGAGTTACTTTCCCATCAAAAATCGTGCCTTCACGTCAGCAAAATGCGAGCCACAAAGTAGGCAATCATTTTGCACTGAATGCGCAGATGCATGCTACACAAATGGTATCACAAACCACGCGTAATAGGAGAAGTAACCTTTGGGCTGGATTGCACGGCGTCTGGGTGTAATTGTGATGGTGGTGGCGGTGGCAAAGAGAGGAAGAGAAGCAAATGCCAAACCAGCAGAAATGCCATTCATTATCCCAATAGCACACCACACCACACCTACGCCAAGGCAGGAAAAAGGTTAACTACATTTCCCTCACTTTTTAGCACCTTTGTTTATGTGGTTGGCTGATTGTACAATTAGAGTGCGTTTGGCCATCATCACGCCTGGAAAAGCATGTATAAATTCGCATCTATGAAACAAACGGGACTCCAATGTGAAATTTGCATTATGAAAGGATCTCTCTTGGTTTCGTGATTGAGGTGGAAGTACTTGTGTTTGAAACAGCACACTGGAGAAGGTGGGCAAGGAAGTAAGCCGCGCCTCAGGACATTGCCCTCCAGCGTTTAAATTTTTCGAGCAGCTACCTGTCTACAATCTCCACAATATGCATCTGTAAAATATTAGTGAAACAAGAAATTTACCAATAGTTAATGCAGAAAAAGAAACTAACGAAATTCGTAGCCTCTTATGCGTTCAATGAAGCAAACGGAGCCATCGATGTGGAAAATAAAATGCCCCGTTTAAATAAGGATGTTGCTAGAGCGAACTATCGAAATTAAGTCAGTATATTCTGTTAAGCATTGCTCAATTAAGTAGCAAATATTCAAACCTAAACAAACAGTACAACGCTACCAACATTACTAAAAAACCTACGATGAGGTTTTAAAAGAACGTGAACGAACAAATTGCTTTAAACTTGAAAAAGTCATCATTGCACTCTGAACATGGAAACATCATTACCAAAACACTTCAACTTAATATCCAAGTCAAATTTGGCCGTTTCATGAAAGATTTTAAACAAGTAACCTTACATTACCTGTCGAACTTAAAACATGTGCCTTTTGTAACCACAAGCCCTATTCACTCCATGAACCGTTTTACTAGGTAGAAAGACCCAGATAGAAGGAGAAGATGAGAGAGCATTTCAGGAGGTAGCGAAATTGGACTCAAAAAGGAAGTGAAAAAACGCTCGGGTACTTGTTATTGCATTCATTAAATTGCCTCTTACTAGACCAGTGATATTTGCAAGCAGGTTGCTAAGGCATACGGCGCGAACAGTCTACAAAACTAAACACTCGGCAAGGAGGAGAGCCACGCAAAACGGCATTTCTTGTGGTTGGATGAACTTGACAAAAATTGACTGCTTAGCTTACCAATAAAGTTTGACTAATTGGAAGCCAATTTAGTGAGGAGAGTCCACGGGATGGGGCAGGAACAGCATGATAAATGACAATGCTTCAAAAAAATTTAGATCTTACCCAGAGGATATGCCTAAAATGTTGAATCAGCTTTGGTAGAGTTTAGTTTTCAACTTCGAAAAGGTGACTTTTTTATTAACACACTCGTCTATGTGTTTCGTAACCAATCTTTTGGGTTTCGAACTGTTCTTGCGAATTTAATGCTTTTGCATAACAGGCTCACTATTGTGAGCAAGTTAATGAGATGGCACAATCTGCTTAGGTTCGCTAAAAACAACCAGCCTTCATCATACCCATGGGAAAACTAAAAGGAAGCTCTTGTCCAGCATGTTGATGCGAGAAAGCAAAGCCGTGAGTAGGCGCTATTTCCAAAACGGGGGAACTGTGGGTGAGTCATGAGCGTCAGCGTCGAGGTTAGAGGGATAGGAACTAAGAGGGAAGCAGAACAATCTGGCACGTGCAGGTTGGACGAGGCGTATCAATCCGCACATCTCATTTTCGACGATGAAGCGTTTAACTCGGTCATCGTAAAATAAGGCGTACAATAGAGGCGATTTGTTGAAAAACTCTTCCCACTTGTAGAACAAAATGTGAAAACAACAATGGTCTGTAACTTGGCAAGGACAGCAAAATCAGCAATGATTAAAGGAAATAACTCACTTCGTAGGCAGTCTGCTCAATCACCGGTGCGTTGTCGTTGACATCGGTCACAATGACCTCAAGACGCACAAAATCAGATAAGCCACCCAAGTCTGAAGCGACTACCGTGAGGGAATAGTGCTCTGTTTTTTCCCGATCAAGGGGCATAGCCAGAGTCACCTCACCTATGCAATTTAGAAGGAAAAGTAGCTCACACACAATGTGACTTTTCAGTTGAGCATATTAGGTGGTTTTCAAACCCTACTCAGTTTGAATACTATTTGTGCCTTGAAGCAAAAAACGCCACATTAAATTAGTGAAAAGGCACAGAGAAAAACAGATTTGATACATAGAAATGCGAAATCATTTGACTACAGCACTGCATTCAACGATCTCTTACAATCCTCCTTAAGGTATCGCATCATGGCCGTTGACATAAATAAATCAAAATTCCATTAACTGTGTACCTAATGAAGGACGGGTAGTGTTTCACAACTCCGTGCAAATTTAAAAAAAAAGGTGTAAGTAACAAGTCCTCAGCTTCATGTTGATAGACTAAGCAAGTAGGGGAGGGTTATAGACTACTTACAATTTCGATTGCGCATTCAAAGATTGCCCATTTTTACGGTGGGATAAACAGTTTCCAGCATTTTCGCTGTTTGTTTGCTAATCCAACAAACTTTTTAAGGAAAATAATTGCACCAAGACTCATTTCAGTTTTGGGAAAAACAGTGTCCAATGAAAAGGGGGAGGACTGGTTCGAATACCGCGAAATGAAAGTTCGTAAGTATATTCGAACTCTGAGTTTTTTACCAGTTTCCAAGGCCTGTTTTATCACTCTGACTGACTTCTGCCAAAATCCGTCAAGAAACAATAAAAAGGATTTTGAATGTACACATGGATAACTGCAAGTACCTGTCACAGAATCCATGCTAAAGGGGACATGAGGAAGAGTGTCGATAAGGTGGTAGGAGAGGTGGCTAAAACTTCCGACATCGGCATCGAGAGCGGTGGCAAGGAGAGCGATGCGACTCCCCAGCTGCGCAGCCTCCGAGACTTTTACAACCTGTTCCGCCACAGGGAAGCGAGGGGCATGCCTATTACCCGGCAACACCTCCACCTCCACCCAACATGTCGCGCTGTGAAGTCCATCAGACACCTCAACCTAGAGCACAAACATATCTCTTTCCAGTCAGCAAACAGTATCTCCAAGCGCGCCTGAGATAGTCCAACGACAATCGTAGTCGTTTTGACTAACAACATAGCATAGTTAACACCCATTACTGTCAAGAAATATGTGGTTTAAAGAAGCTGAACCTGAAAGGAAAGACGAGTTGTATTACTGCCCTCATGAGCAAGGAGGGCTGCAGTAAGGCGTGTCTCTGAAGCGGGATTGAGGGGAGGGCGCCAATGAACAACACCGCTAGTGGCATTAATTCTAAAGATATCGATGTCGGGAGGCAGCAGACGGTAAGTTAGGCTATCGTTGACATCGGGGTCAGATGCGATGAGGCGCAACACGAAGGCGTTCGTAGGCGCATCAATTGCGACCGTTGCGTCGCGGTGACACTCAGCAACAGAACTGGCCCCATCTCCAGTCCAGTTTTTGATGCCCGGTTCCGCATCAAATCTTGGTGCATTGTCGTTGGCATCGAGGATAGAGAGCTGGAAAGCAGTAAAGGAAGATAAAAAAGACGCAATGCCTGATCCTCACAAGAACGTGTCGTTATAGAAATAAGCTATCGTTTGATTTCTTGCCGAGAAGTGAAGTGGATTACTGTCAATGTAACTGTTTAGACTGGAGATATTATAAGAAAATACGCAAGATACATATGCCAACTCTACTTCGTCCTAGTAATCAATTTTATTTTGCACTGATAATTGCCTCAAGGTCGTAAAAACGGTATCTCTTCGTGCTGGATCTGTAGGTGTATGCAAATGATAGTAGTTTAGTTAGACTTTCCAAAAACCCAGCCTAAGGGGAGAGCAAATCACCCAGAAAAGTTGAAGCGATAGTTGGAAAGCTAGAAGCAGCTTAATGAACTCGCAAATCGTCACACTTAAGATGCTAATAATTTAAGTGAGCCAACAAGTACAATGAAATTTAAGTGTAAGGAGTCAGGATCGCTAAACTTAAACCTCTGCGAAACAAGTTTACAATGGTTTTACCTCCCCTCAGCCCACCTACACATTTAAGCTGTAAGGGGGAACACAATGTTTTGCGTCCATTCTTCGTAGACTTCCATGAATTACGTAGTAAAGGGGAGAGGCAATTACATAAAACCACATGACCGGTTCTTCCTCCATCTAAAGATATTATGCGAAATAACGGCAAAATTCGCAAAGTGCGCAGCCATACACTTCAAACTAATAGGTCATTCGAACGCTAACACTGAAGTGACGAGGCAGAAGTAGAGAAAATATTACAGACATACAACAAAGCAGGCGATGAGTTCGATCAAATAGTCTTTTGCACTGTCCATATCATTGGATGAGTCAAATTAGTTTATGGACCCGAGTTGTAGTTATTTATTTCAGAAAAGGCGAATGATAGCTGTAAGACAACTACTTTAGACCATTGGAAAGTGATTTAGAAATCATTTGTCTGTGATACTTGTTTTGCTTACCACCTGTAACGCGGTTTTTAGTTTTCAGATTTTGTGTGTTTGTGGCTGTTGATGGAAAATCTGTAAAACGTTTCAAAGTAATCATTATAGATATCGAATATCAGTATTTCAAAGTGCAATTGGTGCATTATAGATTCATGTAAACAATTCCTTAAAGTAGTAACGTCCATAAAAACTACAAAATAACCCATGTGCAAGGACATACACCGAGAAAGTGAGTCAGCGGAATGAAAACAATGTTATCCCGACATCTTTCGGCATTGTCTATGGCAATTGTAGCAAATTAAAGCACCATCGAGTTCGCATTATCTGGCGGCTAGGACCCATCGTAGACATACATCAGCAAGTAGTTTGACAGACAAGAGCAGACCTGTGACAACTATAAAATCCGTAACCCTCATAACAACTACACTCTTATCGTCCTTTGTCCTGGTACTTTGATATAGTATTTTAATTTAATATTAAATGACAGTCAAAACTGGCGAAAGCGAAAAGATTTTACGATACAGAGCTACATTTTCGCATGGAATACAAAACACTCAACGCAGCCATGCAAGTTCAAGGATTGAAAAGACGTCTTCACTAAACAAACTCAAACCTCAACAATAGATCTGCCGAAGAGAGGAGGTGATCCCCCATCTACAGCAATGATCCAAAACGTCAGCGATGTCTGTTGTTCATAATCCAATTTCTCCGAGAGTCGAATAACGCCACTGATCGGATCGATCGCCAAATTCAAAATTGAAGTGTTTTGTCCAATCTTTATCTCGTCCTCAGTTAGGAGTTGGAGATAGTATCGGATCTAAAATTTACGCGCGAGGAAAATGCGCTAGTTCGGAGAAATAGTTTAAAAAACACCTCAGCTGGCAAAAGTTTACACCATAAAAGGTGAAGGCGCTCTCACGGTTCACGACGGTGTAGGAAAAGCGCTTTAAATCGGTTATGCGAATGTTCAATGCTCGAGGTAGTTTTTTATTTTGGTGTCCAATTCCACCATGGAAAATCTTAACACTTGATTATATCAACCAATTTGAACATAAATAGATTGAATACAATGAAAAATCGAATTAAAAATGGAAATGCAATCCTGACTTCTCGATTCTCGTGGCACTGAAGGTAGTGTCCTTGCTTTGTCAAATGGCAATGCCACTGGGAGTAGCACTAGAAGTCGAGTGTGCCTCAACGCCACCAGATGTAAAAACATTCGGTGAGGCAACTAATAGATCCATGTAGAAAAAGAATGGAAAAATGCGGACCATAGAGATATGGATGAAAAAACTGAAAAGCTTGAATCATAATACCCGTTTTGAAATATTCAGCGGGCCCGGAATATACCCCGTGGATATGCACTCCATTCACGTGAAGTAAGCACCTGAGAACGCTTGATCTATCAAGAGCCTATTAAAGACGTGGCGGTGCGATGACTGATCGGTAGACCGCCTCACCGAAAGACTGCGAAAGGGAGATTGCCATTCCACCGATAACAGAATTGTGAAAAGTCAAAGTATACCAAAAAATAAACATGAGCAAAAATTTTCAAATCAACTAGCGGTTTTCCCAAATGGGATGATGATATCTTACTCTGCGTAATTCTAAACTAAAAGATCACACAACAACTGAACCCGACAATTGGGTCATGTAAAGGCGCATAGATAGATGATTGGGTTCTTTTTGGCGGAGTAGAGTGAAACTAACAGCTAAATGGCAAAATAAGAGCACACTACGAGCTTCGGCAAGCAGTCGTTTACCCACTAAGGCTAGAGATTTCTCTACGATCAAGCTAATTGGAAATGACGCGTTCCAATTTCAGCCAGAATTAGCCTCAAGACAGTCACGGATTATGCATATGAACCTCCTCACTTCCGAATTGAAGGAATCCTGAAAACCTTCCTTCATTGAGAACTGATTCAAAAAGGTTTTCTTAAGTTTTACCCGGGTGACTTATCGTTAAGACATTAGACTGCAAATTCACTTTGTCAAGAGCGACACTTTTACAAGTCATATAGAAAAAAATGTAAAAAATTAAAGAGCTTAAACTGTGGATAGAATAGCTTTGAGTATGTGATGAGAAACGACCTCAGTAGACGCAAACTTATTATCTCTCCAGCAAAAATTCAACAACCTGGAGAAAAACAGCTCCTCAACAAAAATGCTTTAAATTCAAGCAATAGGCAAATCGTTGGCATACCTTTCATCACACAAGGGTCTTGTTCTCTGAGATCATTTCTAAAATATGTTATAATGCAAAATTCCCACCTTTTGAAATGCTTGCATTGAATATGACCGAATGCTTACATGCCTTGATGAACTTCAGAGAGCTGTGGATGACTTACGATGTCGACATAATTCTGGGGAATTATTTAAACTCGTTTAGTGATAGTTGATATCTGAACTGACCATATTGCTATGAACAGACCTCAATGTTCACATAATAGTGTAGTTTGTCACTTGAAGATATTCAAACTGGAAAATTTACTTACATCTAAGGAAAGAATGTGCACACAGTATTAGCACCAAAAGATTACTCTTTTAAACGCCTACGTTCATTGGCACAAACATCAAGACATCGATGTTCACTTTGATAAAGAAGGTTCAGAGGTCTATGAAGTCGAGAGTCAGATAAAAAATAGTAGGAAACTAACAAATGCTCGTCAAATGTTTCTAGACAATAGGATTTACCTAGTCGTTGCATGCCTATCAAAACTGCCGTTTGAGTAATGTATGCGATTCACCATTTCTCAGCCAATGATGTTTGAGAATCAGCAGTCTTTTTCATAATACCCAAAATTTTACATGGACTAGCAGCCACTAAATGGCTGATTATTTGCGGCTAGAGGGGATGAAGCAACTTAGAGAAAGAACAAAACCTTCCACATCGTCTTCACAGCAAAACAGCAAATTGGATTTTCTTACCTCTCCTTCTTTCTCGCCCAAAGCTGACGAATTTTATAATCAAGAAGGAATATGCTTTCTGACTTTACCACCTCCCCCTTCCCGCAGCCCTCGTTCCAAGATGAAAGTCAAAAGAGCTGCTTCAAAAAGAACCATAATAACTTAAACAATGTTAAGATGTATCCCCACTCACTGGTTTCATCTAAATCGAAGAACGTGCGAATTTCCCACAATGCTATCGCTTTACTGTCAAAACTATGTACAGCACTAATTCATTGAGGGGAAGGAAGATTGCTATGCTTTAAAAATACTAGTCATTAAATGGAAATAGAGGCTTTTAATGCCAAAAATAGAGGTTGAAGTAATGAAAGGGGGAAGTGATTTAGCTTGCCTGACCATTTGATCCAGAATCTGCGTCGATTGCAAGATCAGAAGGAAAGAGAGGTATAATAGTACCTATCTTTGCCGCCTCGGAGATCTCAGCCTTGTAGAGAGGTGCCGAAAATACTGGGTGCTCGTCATTTACATCCTAAAAGATTGCTAGAAGGTTAAGTATTCAATAAAATTTTCTATATCAGTGTTGTCGTAAACATTTAACATAAAATGGCACCATAAGACCATCGGTGAAAGTGTGGCGGTTAATTTGATAAGTTTGAAGTTTTGATTTTGATGCCGCATGCGAGAGATGAAACAGGTAGCTACGTCATTTAGAGTTCAAGTATTCACTCCTGAACAAGAATGCCTTTTTTCAACGACAACGTCACTGCTCTGCTTCAACTTAGACTGTTCAATATCAAGGTATGATAGCATAACAATACAAATTTAGGCAACAACACCAGCTTTCTATAAGGTCGTTGAATGTCACAACCTCGTCACCCAGGGGAAAAGTGAGCGAGCAAACCACCTTAGTAAAATAGATAAAAGTAGGTAATATTTCCTTTATTAATTAAAAGTATCATTTCAGATATTCATTATCCTTACCAGAACCCTATACCAGCTCCACTTGAAGCACCTAATTTAGTGCTTCGCCTAAGGGAAAAGTATCTCTGTCTTTTAACATGAAATGCGTTTCGGAAAAAAAGTCGGACAGTAAGGACTATATTCCAGGCATCCACTAGTTAATTTTGTCGTCACGTAAACTTCTCAACACAGAAAATATTATTGGAAAATGGACTAACAATGCCTCGTAGATTGTTCATTCCCGCTAAATTGACAATTCTGAGTATAATCGGGTACAACCTTCAATGTCAAGGCGGAAACGAGCTCGCAAGCATACGAAAAATGAGCATTGATTGTTTTTGCAGACTTTAACAACAGAACGCAAACACGATTTAGTTATCCACAGAAAATGGGGAAATTCGAAAAACAACAAGAGGGATAGAAATGAAGCACATCAAAACATCCCCAAAACCCCTGAAGGAAAACAACTTCTAGCAAAATAGCGTTTGAATTTGACAGAAGTAGATGTAAAGGAATTCTAGTGATCTCTAAAATAGATCGGGAATATTGGGCAGACAGAAAACAGAAAAAGAAGACAGTGTATTGAAATTGAAGGAATTCTCAAAAAAATTAAGATTTTCGAAAACATTTATGTTATAATTTGTCTTTCTCGAAATCGAAAACGGGAGTGTTCCAGGCACGAGCCAGAATAATCGACTACTTGGATGCCCATGAGGTTACTGGACCGCTTATGAAGCAAAATTAATCGTAACTCACGGTTATATCGATATAAACATTGACGTGAGCAGTGTTGCCGGTCGTCGTATCGAGGGCTTCGACAAGGAGTTTGTAATGGTTCCTCTTTTCATAGTCCAGAGGAGCACCTACTCGTATAACGCCTAGATACGGAGGTACGGGAAAATGAGGCCAAGCAATTACAGATGGACTGAAAACCAGCAGTAGAACAACAAACATGCAAAAAACTTTAGCAGGATTGATAGTTTTACAACGGTCATGTATCCCGATGGATGACATTTAACATAGGTTAGAAACTTACATTCACCCAGCGAGGCGTATGCTATTAACACAGTAAAGTGGAATTCTAGATAGGGTTTATTCATGAAACCCCCTATTGCCAAATAGAAGCTAAAGTCGAATTCACACAAGACGATAATTCCAATTCACATGCTATGTCAACCAATGTACACCGTTTCTAAATAGAATAATGATAAAATTGACAATGTTCAAAGTTGAAGAACCTAAATACCATCGTTTCACAACCTGAAAACATAAGACAGCTTGAATAACAGAATATTGGCTCGGTCCCAAAAATGCTAAAAGCTAATTTAAGTTGAGCATTAGCAAAGAGGGGTGTGACAGATCTGCCTTAAATGGGATAATGAGTAATTAAAACAATGTATAACGGGGAACACCAAAATTGAAGCTCATAATGTGAGCAATTTCAAAGTCGGCACACTATAGAATCAATCTAGTGTAACCCTTTGACATTATAAATCTCTCAGGTGTAAGTTGATTCCAACATTGGAAGCAAAAAACTGAATGGCTATGAAGCTGATTTACTTGCATTATGCTGAAACTACTGAGAATAGCAAATGTTAGAAACCTACCGGTTTTGTAATCCAGAAAGAAGGGATTATCCTGGACTTTCGATTCAGTGTTGTTAAAGTCGAGAGAGACGATGCGGTATAGAAGCGTGGTGCCAGAGGCGCTGATAGCCATTACACTGGTCACCGACTCACCCACGGATGCACTTTCTGCCACCATGGCGGTGTAGTGCGTGCTGACGAAGCGCGGACCAAGGCGGGCGGCTAGCTGTACTGTCACTTCGGTGTCTACGAAACGCTGCGCTCCGTCAGTGGCACGCACCCGCGCCACCAGCTGTCGACCCGCCCAGTCCGCCGGCACCGTGCGAATGAGCGACATTCGACCTGACATGGGGTCAATCGAGAGAAGTGGGGGCTCAGCATGGGGTTGCGTGCTGACTATCTGGTAGGATATCTCTCCGTTCCGACCCATGTCTGGATCTCTTGCCTCCACCTACGAATAACGATTCCCCAAGGCAGACATTGAAAACGGTGCTTAAAACCCCGAATTAAAATTAACAAGCAAGTAAGATTCGCAGATGTTGCTTTCATGAAAGCAAAAAAAGCAGGTATCGAAATACGCATGCTCAGTAAAGTAGATAATTTCAACATAACGGAAGCGAGGTTTTCTGTAAGTGTTTGTCGCTAAAAACCAATTCGACAATTCAATCTCTGACACCTAAAAATTGCTTTAAATTTCCAAGCAGAATTACTAAGGTGAAAAGCTTGTGTTTCGTAAAAAGTATCACAATTGGAGAAGTACGTTCGGCAATCTTTGATCTCCAAAACGAATGTCGACTTTCGACTCTGCTCATCATGAAATTCGCCTATTTTTCAAAATATTAATAAAGTGTTTCTAATTGAAGTGTTAGTCAGTGTTGAGTCGGTAATGCGAATAATTGAAATCCTATGTTTATACTCGTATCTCAAGTAAAATTTAAGAAAAGTGAACGTCTGCGTTCTCAAAAACAGACGAAATCCCCAGTTAGTTGCTTCACTAGCATTGTGCAGAGGGCAAGGAAGCATACCTTGAAGTAGTTTGACTGACAAGCTTGATGTAGTTGGGAGAGAATGTGAGAAGAAGCCAGTTCAGAAAGTTTAGACGGTTCCATTGTCTGCGAATGATCTTTTACACAAAAAGTGGCATGGTATGGGAGTCCGACAAAGAAGGGTGTATGATCGTTGATGTCCTCCAGGTAGACGTTCACTAGCCCCTCACCGTAGCGCTGCTGCCTCAGGCCCGACGATGTGACAACGCAATCTCGCACAAGCACTCGGAGCCGCACTACCTGGCTCGTCTCGCGATCTAGTTCAGCCGTGGCTGAGGTATCGCCCGTGGCGTAGAAGGCCCCGCTGTATCGATCGATGGAAAATGCGCGTATCGACGCATTAGCCAATTCAAAACTAAAAATAAGGGAACGATTTCAAAATCACGAGGCTACAAAGAAGGGAATTATTAATTACAAATCAATACTGGCGATTATAAAGCCTTGATCGATAAAAATAGGAGTGCAAAATGCAGTTTTCGCTACGTTTAAGATGATTTGCAACGTTGAGGAACCTCAAAACAATAGGATTGGATAGTATTTTACCGTTGAGGACAAATGTATCAAACTCATTTTCTCTGTCTGGAAAACCGAGGCCGGAGCCCCGACATATGGTTCTTTACTCGCCTACTTATAAATACGTGGGACTAGAAAGACGAATTTAACGACAAATAATTTTCCGAAAATACCTGAAAATTTCGTTAGGGAGGGCATTGTGTACATGGAATTGTCCCAAATATCGCGGAGTGCCGTTGTCAGAAAAGTGTTCGACTAGAGTAACATTGAGTCCACCAGTGGGTTCGATGACAAGACGTTGCCTGGAGAGGTCCGGTGAGTGGATAAACACGGAGACATTGTGTGTGGCCGTGTGTAGCGAGCCGCTGTCTCTAGCCTTAATTTGCAGGAGGAACTGACGCCGAATGGCAGCGGTTGCTGTAGCCAGCTGCGAAGAGGCTCGTAGAACTCCCACATAGGGGTCGATTGAGAAGTAACCACTGCTCTCACTCTCACTGATGTAGTACGTCACCTTGAAAATGAAAGTCACATAAGATAGAATTGGAATTAAGGTAATGCGAAACCTAAGAAATATGCTATGATTTATCACTTAAGAATGCAGTTAGTTTACAAGGTGAAAAAATACAAAAAACCGAGTAGTGGAGAGAGGAGAATACCGCATTCACTACGAAGGACATGGATGCTTATCTGAACTGAGCCTGAGACGTGCACGAGAAATGAGTAAGTAAATGAGTTTTGGGTAACTTCCACTAAAATAAGACAGCAACTAACCTTTCTTTTCATTTCTAGATTTAAATTATTGTTACCAATTAAAAGTAACGGACTCACTCCATCAATGGAGGGGCACCGAAGTACATCTAAGTAATACGGGAACGTATATTTCACCAAGGTTTATTGATTTTAGTAGCCAGGTATGAATAAGCAGTACGAGTTAAATCTCGCTAGTCATAAAGGATGAAAACCGTACTGAGTCGTTGAGGTCTGGGTCTAGAGCAGTGAACTTTGCGATCTGAGCTCCCTCGTATGTTGGCAGGACAATGCTGGCGATGAGTGGATTTGAGGAGGGCGGAAAGTAGGGTGGTGAGTCATTCGTGTCGTCGTCTAGGCGGACGCTCACTCGCACAAGTGCGTCAGCGGTGCGAGCATGAGGCATGGCGCGGTCTGCCATCTCGAGAGTGAGAAGGGCGTGGCGCCCCATTGCCGCTCTTGGCTGGCGTCCGCCAAGGCGCCACTGGAGGATGCTGCTAGTGGGATCAATGCTGAAAAGTTCGGCGTAGCCCTCGGCTCCAGGGCCTACAAAGCGGAAGGTCACCTCACCCGCCAACCCTGCGTCTGGGTCGATCGGACGCAGCGCCAGTGGATGACCAGTTCTTGTATCAATCACTGCGCTATTGGGAGATGCGTTTGCCGTTATCGATCCAGTCAACCAAAGTGACTGCACACGTGGGCTGTTATCGTTTGCATCCAAAACGTGAACCTAAATACAAAACAGGCTTTATGTGTCTGCGAAGTTGTACAATGTTCTATAAACACTATATTGTTGGCTTTGCATACTCAGTTGACATAAAGTCAAAAAGTCTCATGATTTGAAAATGAATTGCATTTAACTACTGATTCTACTATGCAAGTGTTTCAAATTGTTAGTCCTCTGGGCCAAACTAGATTAACCCAAAGGACGATATGAAATACTATGTAGAGGTAGAAAACCAAAAATACCCTGAATTAATTAAAGAAATTGCTGTTCATGAATGGATTGGTTAGTACTCGACCCTTTTTATCCATGAGCAAGTAAGAGAATGTATCAAGTTCAACTCTGAAAAGGTTGAAAATGAAAAATAAATACAATTGCAAAATGTGGATTAATTTACTGTTACTCCCTAATGGAGGTTGAAGCAATAAAGTTTGTATCATAAAACAATCTGAGATGCAAGCATTTTGAATAATAAACATCAAAAGTAGCATTTTGAACAACATTGAATGTTTGATTGCAGAATTTTAAGCTTCTTTCAGGTACTTCTATTTCAGCAGTGTGTGGAAGTTGAGCTGGCAGCCCATCCAAGCTGGAAACTTGCACTTGGAGAAAGTAAAGATCGCGCTCTTCACGATCAAGCAAGGCCAAGGTTGCAAGAATGCCAGAGCCGGCAGAAACCGCAAACTTGTCATTACAGTTCAGCAATCGGAAAGTGATTGGAACGAGAGGACGTGTCTCGAGAAAGTCCCTCAGAACGGTGATGATGTAACCTGCGGGAGTATTTTCGATCACCTTAGTGACAAAAATCGCCTGACGGAAGCGAGGAGGGGGTGCGGAGAAAGCACCAGGACCAACGTTCAGTGAGACTGTCGCTATGGTATAATTGATACGACCTCCATGATCTTTGGCTGCTACTTTTAATTTGTACGTTGGTGGCCAATGAGCAAAGAAAGACGAGGTGGTTTGCGTGGGCCATAAAGGCTTGGCCAGAAGAAGAGCTCCGGATTTGGGATCAATGGAAAAAATTCCCGTGCCTCCAACTATGGGAAAAGAAAAAAATTATTAGAGAGCCATCCCACAACTACGCCATTCAAACTGAACCTCGGAAGAAGTTTTGGATGCAAAATACAATGGCATCTTATCAGAAGGACTAAATCAATACAAAGAACAGTAAAGCGTTACGATGTCCGACCGTGCCCGCATTTGAAACTCAGAAAGTAACCGATCTAAAGAAACTTTTGCAATAAAAGTAGAATAAACGGGGAACTGACGCGAAGTAATCGAGTATACGACTCCCGTTCCCTCGTACCCATGGAAATCCTGATCAAAGGCGGAGACTCGCCCCACAATGCTTCCAACTGGGGTGTCCAAGGAGACTACTATGAGGCCCTGTGGATGGAAGAGCGGCGCAAACTCATTTACATCAATTACGTGTACCACCAAACCAATGCGACTTCCTCTAGATTCCATTCCATCCCGATGAAAGAGACGAATCAGAAAATAATGTTCCCAGTGGGATTCGTAATCCAAAGAACGAGTAATTGTGAGCTCTCCTGAAGCGTAAAAATATTATAGTTAGTAAAAAACAATATTAATTCTGGGGAGTTTTTTTGCATTCTTCATGGGATTTGAAGAAATAATGCCTAATTCGTAGTCCAACTACACGCATTGAAAAAATATAGCTCAACCACTTTAGTTTACCATGCTCCCAGCTCACGGTGGTATCCAAAATCCTTGATTTACTCCTAAGAACGAAGTTAAGTACTACAGCTGCTAACTCAGTCGATTTTGCAGAAGATCCGTTTCCCCCCAGCAAATATAAGTAACCCCATGGTGGATGTCTAGGATGACCTCCTACCAAGAAAGTCAGCTGTTATTATGTTGGTGATAGCCGCCACTTAATTGGAATACTGTAGAATCGACGCTCTTGGAATGAATCATATTATGGTACCATTAATTTAGTTTGGCATATTTTCGATTGTCAATCAAGGTTTATGTTTACTGAGGGTATGCGACTCGATCTTAATTTACAGAGAGATAGTAATGTGATGAAAGGCGCTTCCCTTGTGTGGAAGTGAGGATTCTTGGAAAAGATAACATTTAATTTGAAGCACATTCGATTATTAGTTGAAATAAGCTATTGTAAAATGAACTGGATCAAAAAAATTGAAAAAATCCAAAGAAGTTCTCTATTTTCAGAAAATGCTTAGTCTATCCTTAATGGAATGCTTTTGTCATAGTTTTAGCGAATACTGATGAACTTGAATGCTAAAAGGACGCATTGCAACGGTAGCATATTCTGCAGTAAATATCAATGGGAAATTTCCTCACACATGAATAGTGAGGAGTACTAATGGGATCACTACTAATTACGGGGTCGCCATCAAGGCATTTAGATTAAATATCAACAATCTCCATGTAAAGTTTATTGATGGTGCCCTCTTGACCCCAACATTCCTGTTAAGTGTCAACAGTCTCCACTTTTGAAGCAAGGCTCCTTGTTATTTCGGGACCTCCGGAACATATTAAAAGATTTCATTCGAAATTGCCATTTTGGAATCTGAAAATAAGCCTTTATTCCATTTTTCATACCTCAACCATTAACATAAAAGTTAAAAATTGTGTAGGATTACGTGGAAAATTAAAGAATTACATTTTATTTAAGGTAAACCAATTTTAAAGACAAAGAATATGGACTCAGAGATTTCGCAAGTGTGGACACAGACATTGGAAGTTCGAAGGTAGGACTGATTCCTGAGAGACATGAAAATGGCTAAACTAAATACAAAGGAAATAAAATATAAGTAAGAAAGCGTTGCCGGCCTGAAATATTCTTATTTACCCGCATAAGTTCGGAACTTGGCATAAGTGGGCTAGTTGCTTCACAGAGGCCATATTGGCAGGAGAGTTTCTGTCCTCTCACGGAAGAGGTACAAAGGTAGACAAGCACACTGATAGGTATATTCAAAGCTTTCACTAAAATTTTAAATCCTAAACCCTGACCTTTTTTTCTGAAAAAAGAAATGAGGCAATCGATTGGCAACTTCTAATCACCTAGCTTGCGATTATAGATAAGCCCATATTTTGTATGTGCAGCGGCAAAAACTCGACTGCCGACAAAGTTCACATTTTAACTCCCTTTTGCGTGGCCAGTGCACACATAACACCTACTTTTGAAATTCCTCCACATGCATAAGACCTTATCATTTTCCACACGCTAAAATATATCACCAAATTCTGCTAGGGATCATCAGCAAAAAGTTGTGAAGGGGAGTACCAAGCATTGTCGCATAGAACTGAGTGACAACTTAGACAGAGAACTTTATTCAGCCGTCGCAACAGTGTATAGTTAAAATCTGATAAACAAGATCCATACATGTGTTTGTTAGACTAAAATTCGGTTGCAGACAAGCCTGCAAACTCCTTCAAGATCCAGTAAAATGATAGGACCACCCAGTGAGAGAGGTATGAAGAGGAAATAAAACGAGCAAGAGTATGGGGAATAAGGCTGGCTAGTTTAATTCAAACGAAAAAGGAACTTTAAAAAAATTAATTACTGCAACCAAAATCGCAAGAAATCCCTCACTCACCGCCGTATTTTGAGAGATGAAAGTACGAAAGACTGGCATTATCGCTAGCTGTCTCAATGGTGAATTCAAAGGGGTTAAGATTGGCCTTGGTAAAACTGCAAATCACGCTGCCCACCAAGACAGATTCCGCGACTGCGAGGTGAACCATAACCCCACTTGCACCGCTCTCCTCCGCCTCCTCATCCAGTCGAAAGTCCGTTACATTCAGAGCCACTCGCCTGCCAGGAGTTATTGCAGAAGTGTCGAAAACTGGTGGCTGCCGAATTGATGGTTCAATCAAGATGCTCGTCTGCAGCAGAATGTAATTTTAGTTCCGTAATTTATTAAAAATAAGACTATTATAGAAAAAATGCCATATGGCATTGCTATTATGTACCCTCTGGTTAAAAATCAATTACCTCGAAATATGAAGTTTAAGTAGACTTACTAGAACAGTTTGCGCAATATTTTTTAAATTTGCAACATTGACCTGTTCTAGAACAGATTCAATGCAATACCATGGGTTTTATTAAATACCATCTAAGTTTACTTGCCATCATTGCTCGATTTAATGCTGAGAAAAGAGCAACTAGAGACTTTTAAATAAATGAGTCGAGTTCTTCAAGCACATCGCAATTCAAACAAAGATGGTTATACCTTAAAATTCAAAAAGGTCATGTAGGCACTAGGGCAATACTAACCCGATATCGGCGGTGAAGAAAGACTAAAGAAGTGGTCGAGGTCCCACCTATAGTGCTCGAAAACTAGCGTCCAGGTTAATGATATAGAATCCGGATTCAAGTATTCTGACGACTCCAAAAATGCCGACATTAGTGAGTCTGAACGCTACATTCACCTTTGTTACATTTAAGCCAAACGTGTAACAATGAGACTGCGTCTGGTTCGCGCTGAGTCATGGCAGGGATGAAGCACAGTCAGGCAATTCCCTAGTCTAATATCTTCCGTTTTTCGAAAAATCAAGTACTACCAGTGTGCAGATCGAATATACCATTATACTTTGATAGCGGCTTTTCTCATCTTCAACATTGACCTTTAAAGATCAGAACGACAAAGTAAATGGGTAACTATTTATCAAAACCTCTTCATCAACATACAATCAAATCGTTGGATTAAACTGATTATTATATTGCATGTACGTGTTTCCAAAAAAAGCATGAAAAAGGAGTGATGGCTGAATCTTCAAAACAACCATGCAGGATTCACCGGATGAATAGTCACATGGTTTTACTACACTTGCGTTAGCAATAAAAGTATCTGACCTTAAAGAACACACACAAATTAACACTGTTTTGCATTAAAGAAGGCCTGGAATAAAACTTAAACAGGATGATCCTGGGAAGAAGTCCTTGTTTAAATTAATTTATCTATGCTCATGGAATTAAACTAGCTCAGTGGAATTTGAAGACTCCGTTTTAGTAGATTAAAAATTTCAAAGTTAAAAGTCAACGGAGTAGATCCCTCGAAGCGCATTGTAAGGCTTTGCACATGCAAAACGACAAATGGTGCGATTTCGTGGTAGCTAAGAGCGACAGCCCCGTGGAGCAGAACCACAAGATAAATCTTGATGTCGTAAAAACCAGCTGCGCGTTGCACGTGAGTCATGAGAGGGAAATAAAAAGCAACCAATTTCGATTAGACCTATTGTCAATGAATGAGTTTCTGAAATATCCGAATTAAAGCTAAGATAAGCAACGCAACAATGAACAACCTTGATCAAAATCAAAGCAAACATTCGCCCAGATCATGTACTTAGAGGAAACTTCGCTTCGGTCGCTACGCAATGCACAAGGATGACTAAAGCATGTTACGAATTGGGTCCGATAAGTCTAGTTAGGGACTTCACAACCCAACGCGGGAGCAATGATAAGGTACTAAGACTATGGTGCACTGTGCAAAGTATTGTGTTACTTAAGGATGCAATTGCCAATGAAAGGGCATATTTTCACACGATTTGTCTTCAGACGTTTGAACTTGAGATAATTTAGACGGTAGCTCATGATAAACCATTATTTCCTTAGACATGCGTGTTAGAGGCATGTGGAAGCACCTGCTCTGAAGGTCGAGCTTTTAATTAACCCGAACAGCAAAACCCTTGCATCGTCTCGATGTTATCTATTTAGCTGTTTAGGCATACGCATGTCCATGTCAAGTTGTAAACGCATTAATGACCACTTATTTATTGTCTTGATCTTTACATTACTCTTTCGGTGCTTGATCACAAAGTGTTAAAGCTGAAATAATGTCGATGGTCTCGAAGTCACGCCTCCTTCTAAATCAATGCAGGGGTCGCATGATGTTTCACGAGAAGGTTTGTTTGCCCCAAACACCAATCGATTCATCGCATGCCCGAACGCGTCGGTAAAACCAGTTAAGCGGTGCTGAGAAAATGCAAAACGAATTTCATAGGGTAAGGTGCAACAAAAGCGTGCATACTGAACCGTCTAAAAGACCTCATCCCAAACCTTAACGGTAAGTTTGAAACGGTACGAAGAACAGTTGCTTAATGGCATTGAAAAATATTTACTCCACAAATGATTCCTTATTTAGGAAGCTCCACATTAGTTTTGGGGCTTAAGAGCAAACTGATGTGTGGACTTTACGATAAAGAAAATGTTTCCCAGTTATTTGCCTTTAGAATACTCCATTAGCAAGGACTTTTGGTAACAAATGGGAGAACAATTAAAGTGAGAATGCGAATAGATCACGGTTGTCATCGATGACACTTGGTCCATGAGTATTTAAACCTAGATCCTTTACTCTATTAGTCCAGGTTACGATAAACCAAATTCCCAGGTACTTTCAAGGTGGTAACCTAATTTTTTTACATAACCGCCTTCCCGCTGTCCCTGAAGATGCCGCTACAACCAACCCATTTTGCGTGAACACATAAAGCGGTGTGATGAAAAGGGCTTATGCGGTTTAGTTTTAAACACAATACAATCGAGAGGTCATAACCCAGTAACAACGTCATTTGTCGGTGGAACAGACGTGCTAACGTGCTTTCGAACTTGCGTGAGTGCATGTAGTTGTGGTGGTAGGCAAAAAAATCATTAGTCATGTTAGCCAACGCACTCTATTTTTTTGAAGCTTGGCCACAAATTATCCAAATGATTACAATAACATGCCTTCAGATCTGTCTGTCATCGTGGTTAAAGAGTATTACTGCTGGGAACGGCAATGGAAAGAAACATGGCCGGAAAATAAGTGCGTACCTACACAAAGCTGAGAAGCAGTGGAAAAATTGAGATTAAACTTGACTCCAAATCGACCACGCATAGCCATGGAACTGGTTCGCTGGTTCACAAAAGTTTCTACAGCAAAATTACAATGCGCGCTCTGGAACAGCACAAAGCTGGTTATGCGTTGTAAAGAGGAAAGCACTGCATTATCAGAATTTTAGAATTCTCTAGCGAGAATCTCTCGTATTCGCGTCCCAGTTCCAACCTGGTGGCATTCAGAGTTTCGCATGGCGCGGTGTTTATACTTCAGAACAATTGCGTTGGGTATATTCACAATCAATGTAAACGACTAGAGATAGTTTAAACTTTGATATTAATAACATTCTAAGAAACCGTGCTGAGTTGGTCTTTTGTTCTTGTAGAAACTTAGGTTATTAGTTTGTTTCATCATATTTGTGAATGAGGTAAACGATAATGTAGGAAAGATTCAAAAGCAATGAGAAACATTTGAATATTCGGTAAGGTCCACAAGTTCAATACATCGTAACTTTTATATACCTTATGAAAACCAGTAGCCTTAGTGTGACAAGATTGAGAAATCGATAGCATGTTATGAGAGAATAAAATTGGAACTTTGGGATGTCCACAATTGTTGCAAACTAAATTGTGGAAAAGAATTGCTCAATGCGCACATTGGATTAATCCCGCTTCTTTTGCTTCTGACTACAATGCACTGTCACACAGACCGTTGGAGTACGCTGTGCACAATGCAGCGTAAAGCACAGCACCGTTAAGTGGGAAAGCAAATATTTCACAACGAACGAAATGCATCCCGCTAATATTGCAAGGACATCTATTCAAACATAAACAGATTGGAAACTGGTTTTTGTTTCACATTACGGCGCCCGACACCCACACATCCTGTGGAAAGAAGAGTCATTGCTTTAGCAAGTTTTTGGCCCCAGCATCGGCGCCATTTGGCACTTGATGGTAATGCTACTCAGCGTTTTGCCGGTGACTCACTGTACAGAGATTTTGTGCAACAGTTTCCATTCCAAACCTCGCGTGAAATACCCAATTATGAAGGGGGATGAGGCAGACTAACACCGAAGAGCTGATCAAGAACGCTGCACTCGTAAGAAACAAAATACACTACAGGTTTTTTGAAAATCCTAGCAATTATGCCAGAAGCGTAAAATTTAGCCTATAGTCGGATGTAAAATACTTTAAGTGATTTTCATTGCTAACAAACCTATGCAAGCGAGAAAAATTTCATTAATGTGCAAAACCAAACGCTGACCATATGAAACGCGCTCGTCATTTCACCGAAATTAATTCTACGACTAATGAGAGTAAAATGATTGAAATTCAAACAAATAAATATGATTCCCGCTCAACCGTTATTACTACTTTTACGTGGGTAGCGTTGAAATTCTTTGCATCTCACAGACACGAATTCGAGTCCGGTTTGGGAGAACGCTCAAATGTCTAAATCACGTCTCATCGACTATGCATTTCATGCAGAGTTGGATACCCACACACTTGTTAGCAAGAAAATATTGTCTGCCTCAATGTCGAGATGAATTGAGGGAAGAAGAGAGCGCTGATGCCAGGTCGACCAGCACGAAAAGTAAGGCAACCTGCATTGAGGGAATTTGGGAAGGTAGAAGAAACAATGAGAAATGGTTGAATTTGCACATGCAACATGCCCGAAACAAGGAATTGATGGGTACCAAGTGAAAAAGGCACTCAACGTAAGAAGTGAAAATGCTGATATTCATAGTGAAGGCTGTGTGCTTATTGAATTATTTATTAAAAAGTGAACAAACTTGATTTCATTGTACCTCAGCTTCAGCTCAGCAAAACTGAATTCATATGCAAAGAAAATCATAGCAAATAAAGATATAAGAACACCATAGTTCTTTAGATTTTGAGGATAAAAATAAGGATTATTACGAAACTGGAAGGGAATTTTACTTCATTTAGTCGAAAAACGTTGCAGTTTTATCGGGAACTAAAAATGATTTAGTTTAGTAGAAAAGTAGCAGAGGAGTAAAAATAATCTTAAACATGATCATCAATTTTGCTTTAATAATTTGACGGATCCGTAGACGTCAAATGACTGCCATACACAATAAGCAAAGTGTAAAGGAAAAAGGGATTAGTTTAACACGAGGGAATTGGCAAGAACGGAATCCAATTCGTTGGCGGTATGGATAGGGTTTTCAGAGTAAATAAATAGGGAACTCAAATGCATGGTATGAGTACCGCAATGAAAATCTAGCGAAAATATGGAGAAGCACATGTTCCGGTATTAAGGGTCGGTACATTGGACGAAAA